GTGTTATTCCTTTCCTGAAGGAGAACGCGATGTATTTGTAAAGTTCTAGTTTGTGTAACTTCATGGAAACCAGCACCATCTCTGCACAGCTCCATTTCTTACACAGATCCTTGAAAATGATCTTGTCGAGGTGTTGAATAGTTTCTGTGGTGATCTGGAAATCGGTGCCTTCGACTTGGGCCCATGTTTCTTCAAACAGATGTTGAATGATGGCCTCTGAGTCTTCAGTCACCATCACTTTTGCCTTTTTAAAAGTGCGTGTGACAAGTTTCTCCACGAGAACCCTGATGGACATCTTGTTTCTTTCTGCCTGTGCTCTTGTGTCCTGCACAGGTTCAGCCTGTGTCTCCTCACTAGCTGAGGCAGACACTGCAGCAGTTGGTGCTGTCCCTTCCAGGAGCTTTGAAGATGTCAGTAACTCGGTGCCCATTAAAGCTCGTGTCACCCTGCGACTGTGGCTGGTAGCCTGAGTGCTCATCCACCAGTTCATCAGTGCAAAGAAAGACATCACTCTGTTCTGAATGTCATCAAACATGTTGGCGTGTGACTGAGGAACATGCACTGTGCTGGAGGAGCTCGTCTGTCTATGTGGTGCTGGAATATTCTCTGGCGTCGTGTCTGTGATGTGAGTGTACAGCAGTTCGGTGAGTGCTTGTGTGAATTTCCCAACTTTAGGTGGTGAAAGTTTTTTGACTCCCCGAAACACAACAACCTCTTTTCCAGTCGTGTCATTTTCAGTGTCTTTTGTCATAAGCAGAGAGTCAACACTATCCATGAGGGACTGGAGTGACTGGACTGACTCTCTGCTTTTAGCTTTGGAGTCCTTGCGGAATTTCGCCCTTATTTGTGCCACTATCTGATGAATGGATGCGTGTACAAACGTCCTTGCAAAAAAGTTCTTGATCTTCATCCTCAAGTCTTTGAAAGACACTCTGTGTCTCTTTTGGGATTTGGTGCTTGGACATGCAGATCTTGTCTCTGATTCTGTGCTTAACAGAGCAATTTCATCTGCAACAATCTGAATCTCCAGAGAAGATGCAGATTGCAGCAGATCATTGTCAGAGTCTGACATTTCTTCTAGAAGAGGTGCTAATATTGCACGCACTTCTTTGCTGATTATTTCCTGGACAGACTCTATGTTCTCTTCCAGGCTTTCTTCCTTCTCTATGGAGGTGGTCGGTTCTTCTTCTGTTCGTCTTTGTGTCATTGGGATGAAAATCTTTGCGGCAAATCCCTTTAACATTTCGCAGGCACGATCCACCATCATGTTAAGTCTTTTAGGGGGAATGAGGCGATTTTGTGGAGACTCCAAAGATCCGCTAGAGAGGACAGAGCTGATACTCTCTACGACCTCTTCCACAAACAAGTCTGTCAGTTTTTCTGAGCTGACACACTGGACATGGTCTTTAACGTTGAGAGCCTCAACAAAACTGTGAGAGAGTGCATCACCCAGACTGGACTGAACACACTCCTGAGACACGAATGCATGTGACTCCTTAACAGCCTTCAACACGACTGATGAAATAATTTTAATCAGTTCCATCAGCAGCTCTGCCAACAGAACTTTGGTGGTAAGATCAGGGGTACCAGAGTTTAATAATGCCCACTGTTCCGTTGTCAACTTTGTGAAAAAGTATTCAACCAGCGGGCGAAGAGTATCTACTTCAATCTCTGGTATCTCCATTGGCTGTGGTACCTCACTTTTATCCATGATAACTGTTGGTGTTTACAAAACTTCTTGATTTAGCTGTTGGTGTTTTACAAAATCCTTGATTGAGTATTCTCGTACAGGTCTGTCAATTTAACACTAGCTGAAATGAAGACTGAATGTGTACCTTTGATATATCTATATATATATATTGATAGATATATCAAAGGTACACGTCATTCACACATCAAAGGCATTCCATGTGACGTCTCACATCAAAGGAATGGACTACACGTTAAGCTCCGCCCCCTAAAGCGTGTGCCATAGCAACCGTTGCTAAGGCGCCTTAGCAACCGTTGCGTGCTTTCATCGAGCTCTCGTTTTCATCGGGGTGAGCTGAAAATATAGTCAGTTTTAAATTCAACGTAAAACAAAAAGGGAACGTTCCCTCGGAAGTTTACAGCACGTTTATGACGTCCGCCACTGGTCCCCACCACAACGCTTCCTGAGGGACCGGGACGGCATTGACGTTCTCGTTTGAACACTTCGCGAGGATCATATAATACGGAGCACGGGAGGGGACAAAAAAATTAAGTTTGCGAAAAAAAGAAAGAAAGTTGTATTTGTAGTTGTAAAATCATTTGCCTCTTGGGACATGTTTTTACAGATGAAAAAAAAAATAGAAAAGTGATCCTGGCAAAAACAAAACAAACAAAAAAAAAATCACGTGCCTCTCAAGGCTTGTTTTCACAGATTAAAAAAAAAAACAAACATTCACTTGTTTCTCAGGGCATCTGTACTTTGCAGCTCTAAACTCTATTTAGTCTGCTTTGCTTGTTGCATTTTGTTAAATGTTGCATGCTACAGAAAAATACTCAACATGTAAAACCAGGTTTTTAGGGGCTTTAAGCTTTTTTTCCAATACCACTAAATATTCATGACTACATAAGCAGAAGTTAAAGTTTGAAATAAAACCAGACTTGTCAATAATATAAGTTTAACACTCGAAAATGAAGATAATCTGCTTATGGATGTGGTTTGATTAGATTTGATTGGTGCAAAAAAACTTGACATCAATTGAGTCATCACACAAATGCAACTGTCGTGTCAATTAACCAAAACCTAGCATTAGCATTAATCATAGTAAGAGGCTGACTGCAAAAATAGGTTTTCAAGAGACCCAATAATGATCAGCTTAGATTAGAAAAGAGCTGGTTTGCAAGATGTGTTTTACCAGCACATCTGAAGTCATCTGAATGAGTGAAAAACAAACAGTTTTTAAATGTTATTAGTTACTCCTGTGCTTTTCCCACTCTGACATGTGTTCATCTGCTCATCAGACCAGCCTTGGACGGATCAGGTGACTGTAATTTGCTCTTTGTTCTTGCTCGAACAAATTTCAGGAACAACAATTAACAAATCTCAATTATTTTTTCAGTTAATGGTGTTTTTAATGTACAGTAAGCATGTGACTAATAAAACAGAAAACAGCACCAGAAGAAATGTGTATCTCTGCCAATCTAGCCAACTACTCTGAGCTGTGTGTGTGTGTGTGTGTGTGTGTGTGTGTGTGTGTGTGTGTGTGTGTGTGTGTACTTACGATCTTTTTTTGAGGACTAGTTTGATTTATAGACTTTAGGAAGTCTGGATATTTTGGACGGTCCACATTTTCTGACACACCTTCAAAGGGTTAGGGTAAGGCATTTAGTTGTGATGGTTCAGGTTAAGGTAAGGGGCTAGGGAATGCATTATGCCAATGAGTGTCCTCACAAAGAAGTACAAGAGTGTGCGTGTGTTTGTGTCTGTTTGAGCATAATGCATAATGTGTGATTTCATCTTACAACTGCATTTAGGATAAAACCTAAAAGATTGCCTCTACTCAATTTCATTGAAAGAATTTAGCCTAGCCATGGTTAATGATCAATAGTTTGCAGCACTAGAAGCCACACAATATTAGCGCTCACAATTATTACAAATACTTGTCAAAATAAATATCAAAAGATACATGTTCTGTTTGTCTACTGTAAGCACAAATGTACTGATTACATAAAAATTACAGGCGTTGTTTTCAAAAACCTCAAAATGGGGAAAGAGAAAGAAAAACTGAATAAAAATGGAAGAACAAAAGTCCGGAGAACAGATTTGATAGAGAATTGTAGGGAAAATAAAGTGTAAAGACGTTTAAATTCCTGTTCAGCGCTACCTTGCTCAGGCAGTTCTGTTCATCAGAGCCAGGTGAATGTGAGTTTTGAAGGCAGATCCTTCAGAGGCAGTTTGCTCTGTCCATTTGTCCTTCAGTTAGTAGGTGAACAGCCCAAACACCTGTTCCATGTTTATTATTCCAGCTGGCCTCAGTCTGGCCCAGGCAGGGGGATCTGTCTACTATCAGGCCATTGTTCTACCTTCTGATGAGGGAGACAACCTGTTTCCCTGCAGGAGAGAAACCCCAGGGGTCCGAGACAGAGTGCTGAGTAATCCATGCCTCTCGGCCCCCACAGCCGAGGGCCGGTAAGAGAGTGGAGGACCTTACGAGTGCTCGGCCTAGCAGTTGATGGATGCACAGTCTGCTTTGGCTTTTCCTGCCGAACTGATTATCCTCATGAGGCAGTGTCCGAACTCCTCCAGGATCATCCTCTCCGCTTCGGCCTGAGGCTGATGAGTCTGTTCTGCCTTTTTGGCCTGTTCCAGCAGACACTCGCACGTTGCTTCCAGCACCTCCTTTGTTACAAACGTGTACGGCAGCCTGCGGGGAAACGAAAACAAGGCCTTAGAGAGAAAATACACAATCCTTCATGTCATCAGCCATTATGATCTGTTAGCAGAGGTGTTTATGCCAGTTGTCACAAGAGTAGGGCTGCCCCTAAACAATGATGGTTATAAATCATCAGACGAGAATCTCCCAAGTTGACTGCACTTTTTTTCCTTCCTTTTTTAGCTGTGGTGTCGTACACAGTGATGCAGGCTGTAAACTTTTGCAAACAAAGTCTTATACGACTAAATGTCTAATATCTTCACATGTCAGATGATGAACAAAGAATCTGAATCTGAATACTTAAATCGAATCCCAGGGGGAAATTAGGTTAGGTTACCATTGCTCCCTCAGCAAAGAAAAGAGACTAGGAAGTAGATTACAAAGGTAAAGCTAAGAAAAAGTATCTGGAGGAAGAAAGGCCTAAAAAAGTGAGCTTTGTAGATTCAACATGAGACTCATGTAGGCTGTTACAGGAGTGTAGTGTGGGGTGGACTAGACTGTACTGTAACCAGGTGGAGGCTGTGGGAAATATATTTCCCATAATTGTAGGTAAGGGGTATTAAGAAAAATAAATAAAATGACGGTAATAATGTTGACTATTTATAAAATAAAAAATATTAATAAAAAAGCACAAGACAGACTAAAATCAACCCACATCCTTTCATGACAAATCCTGACTCAGCTGCAGCTTTACACCTGGCGGACTTTAAGTGATCATTCTTAAGAGTTTTCATGAAATCAAACTGTTTACGGTCAGCCTCATTCTTACTTCTTTTCCTTCCTAAACCACTTCTCTCCTTCAGCGTGGTCAATTAAACTTCACTGACGGGATTACATAGCACTCTGACACCACACGCACGCACGCACGCACGCACGCACGCACAGACACACAGACACACACAGACACACAGACACATGTTTGATGAATGATGAATTATTTGATGAATTGCTTCTGGAGGCATCGTACTGCAACACCCTAAGCTAATTGCTTATTTCCCATTGAAAACAAATCCTTGTGTTGGGCTGGCCTCCTCTCTCTCTCTCTCTGGGCCACACAAAGGTAAAGTTAGCTCACTTTACTACAGCAATAATCAAGCAACACAGACCCAAAACAAAGGAGCTTGTCTCCGCCTGGTCTGAATACTTATTCTTTAATATTTGTGGCCTAGACTGTATGCTGTTTTTCAATTAGCATAACTCTTCTTTTTGATTTCATACGCTGATATCATTCAATACAATCAACCACAGTCACAGCGAGTCTAATAAAAATCAGAGAGCTGCAAGTTGTTCGTGTGTTTCTGACATAAGAGGTAAGACACCTCAAACTCTATCTGTTATAATAATATTATTAATGTTATTTTTCCTCCTGTAACTCGTTGTAGAGGAGAAGTGTTACTGTACCTCCCGCCTCCACTTGAAATAACAGGTGTCGTCCGCATGAGCAGGTCTGAGATCTGTGAGGACAGCTTGGTCTTGGCTGCCGTCTGCTGCTGTACTCTCACTTCAGCTGCGTCGGCCAAGTGCATCAGCGTCTTCCTCTCCGGGCTCTCCTCAAAGTTCTTGCAGCCGATGCATTTACAAATGGACGAGCACATGATCTTCGCCTTCAGGTTGAAAACCCGGGAAATATATGGATGTAAACAACAGTCTACTTAATCAATACGAGGTGAGAAAGGCAAAACAATGCAGTCAGGGGAAAACCCACCTCGTAGCACTCGCAGTAGTTCTTCAGGCAGCCTGATCGTTTGCAGTTGCACCCTTTGCTGTGCCGACGATCCGACTCTCCCTCTTTACCTTTACCGATCTTAGGTTTGAAGGCCTCTGGATTCCGGTCCAGACACGTCTGTGAAAACACGTTTTCCCCTTAATTCACGCATCTGACATGAAGAAACTCCAATCAAACAGCTCGCACACTGTACATCCTCCTTACCTTGATAGCTTTGAGACGTTCTGTTTCATGCTCCAGGTTATTGAAGCAGTTATTGCAGTTACAATTATTGCAGAACTCTCCATTTGCAAAGCAGTCACAGTATCTAAAGGAAGAAGAACAGAGCTCTACTTCATAAAACTGAGTTAGAAGCCTATATCTTACTACCCATCATCTGTAAAGATTATTCCTGAAAGTATTAGGAATAATAGCTGCAACTGATGATCATTTGCATTAGTGATTCATGTATTAATGACTTTTTTGGATTAAAATTAATCGTTTGGTTCATAAGAGGTCAGAAGAAAGTAAACATGCATATCAAAATTTTCCTAAACCCAAGTTGGGATAATCAGATACTCAAATTGGTTGTCCAAAACTCAGAGTCATTCAGGTAAATATCATAAGAGACTAGAAAAAAAACACCACACTAGTCAATTTAGGCATTTATGAGTAAGATATTAATCTAATAATCTTCTTTCAGCTCTAATTAGAAACACTAAGTTACACATATATTAAGAAAAAAACAAAACAGATTGGATTAGTCTCAATGACCGTCATACTTACAGCTTGAGACACTGTGACTTGGTGCAGTTGCACGGTTTCCTTGGTCTTGAGGTTGTTTCTGCTGTCGACAGGCTGTGAACCCATGAGAAATATAGTTTCAATTAATCAATTAGTAGAATTCAGAAATGACCTCAGTCTTAATCTTAAAATACTTGAAATTATTTACTTTGTGGTTAAAGAGTTTTTTTTTTTTAGGTGTCAGCTTGATAGATTTGTAGAGTTTTGTTTCACCAGTTTAATTATAGTTGTGGGATTTTTTTCAATATAATTTTTTGGGCAGACATTAAGTGTTTATTTATTTACACATTTTATTTATTGACACCTTACAACACACAGTAAAAGAAATAAAATACACACATACAACTAGTGTTGGAGCAAGTTTGAAAAGTTGTGTTTTGATGTGGGATTTGAAGAAGGGAGGGATGATATACAACAACAGTTCCCAGCATTGTTGCACTAATTGCCATTTTAGCTCACAAGACTGGTTTCACCTCCACCTTGCGTAGTCTGGTAAAACAGTTTTAAATAGAAGGTGAATTATTTAGTGTGTCCACACAACAAATCAGAACATTAATGTCCCATGTCTTACCCATTAAGTGGCAGTCTGGCCTGAGTCTGGATACCAGCGGGCGCAGGGAAACCAGAGCTGCTGGCCAGGGTCACAAAAGGTGACTGCTGGAGCTACAGCAGGGCAGAGAACACAACAGAGAAGCTTCAGCACATGTTCAGTATATGTTCAGAGTGGTGTCTGTAAAAGAACATCACTCACCTGTGTTACATATTGTGCTGGCACGACTGCGTAGCCCACGTTCCCGCCTCCGGGAGCTGGTGCCAGGACGGTGCCTGGGGGGAGGTTGGTGAAGTTGGGCTGGATCTGGGGTAGCGGAGTTGCAGGCATGATCAGGCGTTGCTGGGTCTGAGTGGTGGTTACTACTTGTGCTGCTGATGTTAAGGGCTTAGGTGCCACCTACAGGGAATACAATCCATGAATGAAGCTTCTCACAGAAAGCTCTGAATAACATAAAAAATAAACATAAAACAGCAAGAACAGAAAATCTAAAGGTACCTGTTTCATGGTCTGTGCTGGGACGATGGGGACCGACATCCTCACTGCTCCTGCACTGACCACCATAGGTTTAGCTGTGGGATGTTAATCATCATAAGTTGCCACAGAGGAGCTTCTACATGTGCCTTTGCTAAACAACATTAGTTGCCACCTTGGTTTATTAGCAGATAAACTATGAAAATGTCTGTTCATAAGTCACCTGTCTGTATGGAGCTGGTGCTGGGACCACTGGGCTGTCCTGTGCTGCTCGCCGTGGTCGCTGTGACGAGGCGGACATAGTGAAACCGGCTTCCTGGCACCTGAATCTGCTGTACATTCGGCTGGGTGGCCAGTGGGATGATGGTCTTGAACTGGGAGCCACCGACTCCTCCCACAGCCACAGACTGCACTGGTTTAATATTCTGAAGATGTTCACATAAAAAAAACAAAACAAAACAAAACAGAGACTTATTTAAACTTTTTCCCTCTAATTGTTCTGATATAGGCAAAAAGCTTGGTCCAGAACTCACTTTACTATGTGTCACTTAAGAGTGAATTTCTAAAATGTTTTTGTTACTAAACGACTAAAAAGAAGATGGCGATTAATTTTCTGTCAATCAATTAATTGCTTCAGCACTTGTTGATTGACAGACAATTAATCTGCAACTATGTTCATTCTCTGGTTCAAGACTCTTGGTTTTCAGATTATCAGAACATCACTAATCAGATGAAACAAGCAATTTAAAGTTTCAAAAAATTGTGGACGTTGTCACCATTTTATACATCAACTGACTGATTGATTATTTGAGAAAAATCATTTCTTAATCAATGTTTTATGTATAGGGACAATTATATAGCATGCATCAGCCCAAGATAATTTGCAACCCTTGTCCTTAGATGAATCATCAGATGAAATGTCAAATAATCAATGAAAATTATTCCTTTTTTTTGCCTCCCTACGTCCAAATTCAACACACCGTGTGCTCTCTTTTCTAGATTAGATGTGACTGTGGCTTTAGCACGGCAGCAGCAAGAGAAACTGTCGACTACACAAAGAAATATCTGCGCATGCATCTTTGCTGATACAGAACAACTCGAGAGCAGATTTGCCCAAACTCGCGCTGACAATAAACAGTCCTACCTGTGCTGCGGTTTGGTTGGTGGCCACCTTGACGGGAGATGCAGACGTGGACTGCTGGACTGTGAGGATCTGCTGGCCGAGTGCTACATTGACGGGCAGAGCTACTGACTTCTGAGAGGTGTTGGAGGTCGGGGAAGCCACAGACACCACAGTTACCTGGTAGAGACAAGAGGAGTGCAGTATGATGAGTCTAACTATTCGCCACATCAAACACCAAATACATAACTCATTAATATTCTCACAAAATATTAATGCTTTGCTCACACATATCAACCAACAACCTGCTTATATGTGGGTGCTATGATGCATGAATGCATGGGTTTCTTGATTTACGATACACAGTTGAATATAATAACATTAATGACTGCTGTATGGGCTCACAGGCGCTTTTACATGCAGTAGTCGTTAGGTTATTAATCACACCTGTGCTTTTCCTGCTGTGATAAGTGAAAGTAGTGTAATCATCTTAAACTTGAGCTCTTGAAAACCGCAGTGGTGATAGTTTCAGGCACCTGCAGCTGGTTAATATTCAATTTAAGTCCATCAATGACACAGAAACAAAACTTTAATTGAGAAATTGTGAAATAGTGTGAAACATTTACCTTGCTGGGACTCTTAAGAGGTGAAATGGCAATCTTTTTCCCAGGGATGCTCTGTATAGTAGTGTTGTGGGGTTCAGACAGCGTAATGGTCCTTGGGGGCATCACTGGGGAATTCTGTGTTAAGACTCGTCCTGTGGAAAAACAGAACACAGGAGAAAAGCTGACATGTCTGTACCTAATTCTTGGTATAAAAACAAAAAAACTAAGCAGTTGTGATAACTGACTACAGCAACAAAAAGTCCAATTATTCAAATATTCTTACCAGCAATAACAGGAGGAACTGATGTCTGCGGACTCAGGCCTTTGCTGTTAACAGTTTTTGTGATGATGAACTTGATTGGTGCAGCTGAGGATGTTGGTGTTTTCTTAGTAATCTGTGGAGAGAGTCAGAAAAATAAAAGCTCATTCTAGTCACATATTCACCTCTTAATGCCAGTATCTGAAATGTATGTTTTATTTTTAATTTTTTTCCTTCTATTCAAAAATTGCCTTTAACTTCAAGTGAAATCTTGATGAAAGTTAAATTACTGCCACTGACTTTTTCTTGTTTGTTTGTTTCAATAACCTCAGATCTGGATATTTGGGAGTTTCAATTATCAAACGATCTGTCAGCCGTAAAGGTTTTTTTTTTTTTTTTTTTTTTTTTAACATAAACATGTAACATGAATCAATCTTAATATGACTCTCTTAGATTTGCTTTGTTTGTTTTATTATTATCATTATTATTATTATGACCAAGATATCTGCTGAGTGGGATATTTTACAGTGTAATATCAAACCTATAAGAACTCTCTGATAGACAAACTCTGTAATGGTGACACTGTTTCTAACAGAGTTGTAATGATTAGGCAATTAATCAATCAGTCAATTGCCAAAAAATAATCAGCAACTATTTTGATTTCAGTGTCCGTCTTTTACCAAGTTCACTGACTGTTTTTAGTACATAGGTGTGACAAAATAAGCAAGGTAAGGCAAAAGTAAAACTAGACAAATAGTTGTATCTGATCTAGTTTAGATTACTGTAAGAAAGAACTACACTGACTCATCTTTTGTTCTCGCCTCTTTTCCAAATAGTAAACTGTAATTTTGAGATAAGAATCAGATGCAAACAAACTGTTGTTTTTTTTACTTTCCAAGCAGGGAAGCTAATTTAGCACGGCTATATGTGCCCTGCACTGTCAGCACATGTCGGTCATATGTTTAACAATCAGCTGTTCTCACTTCTCACTCCTCTGGCACTCATCCATGAATGGAAAACACTGAAATCCAGACTAACAATGTCTTATTTTTATCATGGCTAAAATTAGCAATCATAATTTTGTTTAACATTCATATGTAGCAAGTGATAAAACAACTACAGTATGAATTTGCCATATAATATCAAAATCTAATCATTTAAATATTGCACAATAACACAAAACATTCAACATTACCTGTACTGCCTTCAGCTGCTGGGCCTGTAATGTGGTCACCTGGTTGCTAGCACTGCCCACCACAGGCTTCAGCTCCGACCTCCCACCAATGGTCACCACTTTAAACTGTGGTGCTTGAGCCTTGGTGTCTCCTGAGGCCTGTGAAATGCCAGGCTTGCTGCCTGTGTGGGGTAACTGCAGCACTATAGGTTGCCCCGATTTTCCAATGGCTGTAACCAAGAGTTTTTGTCCTTCCTGCTTGATGACCTGGGGAGGGGTGCCTGCAGACTTTGCTGCCTCTGTGGCTTGAGATGAGGCCACCTTGTTGAGAATGATCTGATGGTTTGCGGGAGAGATGGTGAACGGAGCCGTGAGTTTCTGTAGCCCACTTGTAGAGACAGTCCCAGTCACACTATCTGTAGTTTTGGTAGTGGCTGTGGAAGTAGCCAGGGCTGGTTTTAGGGTAAGAAGGGGTGAGGATGAACTGGAAATGGAGACAGGAATCTGACTTCCCGAGCTGATGCTGAGGGTAGAGTCTGGGGCCACGGAGGTGGTTAGAACCTGAGTGGGTTCTGTTGCAGCGGCATCTGAACACAGGCTCAAATTTTCTGAAGCCACAGGTGTATCCGTTTCCATCGGGACCGATGTATCGTCACTGGGCTCTGACTCGACTGTGGCGGCGTCAGGTTGGGAGTGAGGGACGTCCTCTATGGCCTCAGTATCCATGATCTCATCAGGAAGGAGGCTGTTGAGCTCTGGTGACACCACATCCATGCTTGCAAAGTCTCAGCTCTCTGTTAACCCTGTAAGAGCAATACAATTATTTGTCATTGTCATTGTAAAATGTACAATTTCTTGTCATTTATCAGCTGACGTTTACACACACATAACACATACACACATACATCTGCAATCAGCTAATGTGGGCAGGTATATCAGTCAGACTTTGTGTTGATATGTATAATTTAATTAATTCTTCTGACAGTGTCGCAAAAGCTGAACCTTACAGGTACAATAAAAATAAGCTCCATCACAGAACAGTTGTATTGGATTGCATTTGACTGTACAGGTTTAACAAATAAAGTAGCCAAACAGTGAATATCAGAAAATATGAAAATATATTGATCAGTTCACACACTTGATACATTTATAGCAATGACCTATATTTACTTTTTTTTTTAAAGTACTGTTCGTTTAAGATGTATTGCTCTGTATGATTAATACATACATGTACATGGACATTAATGCAGTCTGCAAAAGGCTTTGCAAAATAAAAATAAACAAACAAGGCAGGTCATTAAAGATAACGAATTAGCAGTATTCACAGCAAATATGCCCGGTTTGACACCTGTAAATTAGTTTTCAGTAATCACGTCAGATTTATCAATACAGTGGGGGTGCACGAGTCACGTCTGAGTTCCAGTTATTTTGACAGAAGCTGACAGCTGATGCTGGGTTATCTAGGCCGCACCGATCATCTCAGGCGTATCTTTGTCCTGCTGCTCTCCAGTCAACATTAATCCACCGAAACGCACATATGAACTCTACCCACCACACACACGCGCGCACACACCCGCGCGCGCGCGCACACACACACATACACACACACAAACACACAGCTAACTGCTCACATTGTTGTCACGTCCCTAGATGAAAGCAACCACCAGACACTGTGCTGGGCTGCACTCATTCATGTAAAAACACCCCCACTGCCGACCCCGCTTGGGGTAAAGAGTGAGGAAAAAGCGACAAGCTGTTTGCTGTCTGCGTTACTATTTCAGGCCGGGGTTGGATTTCGAAAGATCCGCCATTTTTACCTCGTCATCAGCTCTGCTAGCTCCCCGGCTAACACTGAGCTATAAAGGATGAGGTACTGCAGTTTACTATTATTTACATTAAGCCACGACACTTACCCGGAAAACAGAGCAGTTACATGAGAGCTGACGGTAATAACTGCTGGAAACAGTTAGCTAGTAGCAAGTAAGAAAACTCTGACAACCTAAACAATGCTAGCTTCCAATAATTCCTCCCTGTCACTTCAGATAACCACCCTGCTTATAACATTTAATGCAACACTTATTACAACTCCACCTTTAGATTCACCTAGCGGCACGTATAACCTGTGTAATGGGGCGTTATGGTTCAAGTAAGCGTGGCCTAACCTGTTATAAATGACACCTTTTCGTTAGTAAACGTCGTGTAAGTCTAGTGTTTGATCCAGGTAAGATGCGAGACCCGTTTCTAAACCAGAGACCCGTCAGATATAATAACAAATTCGGGGCTGAGTAACATGGAAATAGCTAACAGCGAAGGTAACTGATGACTTGTGCTGTTAAAATTTTTGACAGCACGCACACACACACAGACGCAGAACAGTTATCGTGCTGAAGTCCCATCAAAACAACTGTCAATGTTCAGCTAACTTAGCTTTTACTTTTCATTTGCACTGAGCGGACTGTTGACCGTCTGTTATTCAGTAGTTATCTGTTAGTACACACCAAACTTTGTCTCAGCGCACAGACACTGAAGGCGATCAGTTACAGGGAATATCCTAGCTCCCGTACTCTTCATTGGTGTCTACCCTTAGCTTCACCATCATCATTATCATCTTCATCATCATCATGAGCCTCATCAAGTCAAGCAGCCCAGCGGGCAGGACAACTGTACTAGCAAACTTGCTGAGCTTGCTAACCCGAGCTAGCTAGCTACAACATTATACCTCAACATTTAAACACATTCTCAAGTGTGTGGCTTTCTGCTGAATGCAGTGTGGTGGGCTCCAGAGAGGGACAGCAGATAGTCGAGCTTACCAGAGATTTTTACGCTGGGCGACGTTTCCAGATAAAACGAGGAAAGGAAAAGGCGATTGTTCAAAATACCGCGCCGAGCGCCATTCCTCCCTGACATTTCACAGGCCGGCCACGCCCTCCAAGCACTACGTATCTACTACGTAATATTTAAAGGCGCAGGACAGCTTTGTCCCATAGACTGTACATGAAATATGGATTAAAAATGTTTATGATTCTGTTTTTTTTTTACACCATAGTATTTTTTTTAAACTGAGTGGGTTTTTATTCATCACATTGTGTTTCACATCTATTATATATCATATTAATCTGTTCTAGGGGTCCAAGCCATGGACTATAGTTAATATTTGGCTATATTTATTTTTGTTTATCCATCTGTATGACTATTTTGAAGGCTATAACTTGACCTGTCTTGCATTATTATGTTGACAGGTGTCCCTATTATTTTCTCTTTTTATTAGTTGTCCTTTCCAGCAATATAACTTAACTGTATTTTCTGTTTTCTATCATGATTCTCTTAAAGTTAATCAAAACGAAAAGAGTATGCACACATTAATTATTATAACTACACTTTTTCTTTTCTTTTTTTAAGCTCAAATTGCCTTTATTTACATTTTAATACATGTTTGATATCTGGAATCATCGACATTATAAAAATTTCGCAAAAACCATCCACTCACTCAGGAGGTTAATACGGCCATGACAAAATCAAGGCTCAGATTTTAAACTTTTTCAGCTTGAAATTTTTGTTTTTTAAATGAATAAAAAAAAGAAATTATTAATTAAATAATCTAAATGATCAAGAGATAGTAAGAAAGGCAGGCTTATATAAAGGAAAACAGACCTATCAACTTCAGAACTCTCAGTCAAAACCATTGAATTTTTTTTGTTTTTTAATTTGATTTAACTAACAGACCCCTGGTTATTTGTTCATTTATTTTGGTCTACATTAATGATAAAATAATTGGCTATTCTTAATTATATTTTTCTATGTGTATTTCTTTGTATTTTTTAATGATTATTCCTAATTGCTTTTATTTGTTCATTGAAATAGAGAAAAGATTGGGCGGTTGGGGGGGAGTGTGACCACCGTGGTTGCTGAAGGCAGGGTTTCCCGGTTGGAGGACCGACCGAGCTCCGCGCCCTGTGGGACACAGACCGACCGGAAGACTGGCTCCCCTCTTGGCAGAGGAAGCTGCTGTTGTTGACACTTCGCAGGCGACAATGGCGACCGAAGTGAGGCAGGAGCTTGCACAGCTGATGAATTCAAGTGGATCTCATAAAGATCTCGCTGCCAAGTATGTAACAGAATTTATGAAATAATAATTTACTTGTTAATAACAGCCATACACTTATTTAAATGTTGATATTAACGGTACAGTAAGTAGCAGTGAGATAGCTGTGATGAACTAAGCTAAGCTAACGTTAGATAGCTACCTAGCTATATTAGCTTATAGGTTAACGTGAGACTAACGGAAACAAACCGTAATTGTCCGTTAAAGCACTTTATTGTGCAGATACTCAATTAAACTGTAACACCAAATGAAAACGTCCAGTCTACCATTAACGTTGCCGTTACATTTAATCATTTTTTTTAGCTACACAGTTGATGCTAAACATAACATAGCTTTACAGGAGCCTGAACTTGGGCTAGCCACCAAATACCCCGTTAAAAGAAACTGCAGCTGCCAAATTGGTATTTGACAACAAATATGCACCTGGCAAATACAAACTGTCAGGGACGCTGCACGCGTTTCAGTGGTGTGCAGCGGTGTTACATCTATCTGTCCTGTGTCAGGAGAAGCAGATGGCTAACTGTGATGGAGAAATGACTGTCCACAACTTCATGCCAGTCTTAGCAGAACATGTGCAATCATATGTGAAATGCACAACAAAAATGTTTGAGTCTTACTGACTTTGGGTGTAATTGTTTTATTTGATCTCTTTTCTAACTTGCACTTATGAGCGTTTAAATAATCATCTTATTGTCTCCCTGGTTGTGTATCTTAATGCATATTTTAAAGCATTTAAATGTACACTCTGATCGCTGTTTATATGAACACATGTCCACTTTTTAGTATGAATACCTATCTGAATGTTTATTTAATTAGCTGAAAATGTGTATTTCTGCTATTAATATTTATTTTTAGGTATTTATTTCATTTTTCTGTACTCAGGTATCAGTGTAAATGAGATCTTGAGCCCAATGTGACTTCCTGATTAAATAAAGTGTGTATATATTTATATGTATGCGCTCACCAACCACTCTTCACACTTCATACAGATGATTGTAAAAGTGATTTTGCAAATACATTTATGTTGAAGTCTTAAATGATACTGCATAATATGTCACATTTTCACAGTCTCAGCCTTTTAAATTTCCATTTATTGGTTGAAAAAGTGGTGTAGTTTCTAACCTGTCAAATCTTTTGCAGATATCGACAAATTTTGGAGAAGGCCATTCACTTTACAGATGCAGATCAGCTGGAATCCTTGAAGGCTTTTGTTGAAGCAAGTATGCTGTGCCTATGGTCTTTTATATGATCTGCATTGTCTACAAGCTTATTATTATTTATAATTTAGATTTAAACAGGATATCTTGATTTAATATTTCTATCTTATCTTTTACAGTGGTCAATGAAAATGTCAGTCTTGTTATCTCGAGACAGCTACTCACCGACTTCTGCACACATCTGCCCAACCTGCCCGACGCCACAGCCAAAGCAGTGTATCACTTCACCTTGGAAAAGATTCAGCCGAGGGTCATCTCTTTTGAAGAGCAGGTAAATGCCCCGACCCTCTCTCATAGCCCCTGTGAGAATTTGTTGTTTATCGTTCAGACAGTTAAATTTCAGCATAGTTATTGAAATGTATAATTAAATTGTGTTCTTGTATGTCTTCAGGTAGCTTCAATCAGACAGCACTTAGCAACCATTTATGAGAAGGAAGGAGACTGGAGGAACGCCGCCCAGGTTTTAGTTGGTATTCCCCTCGAAACAGGACAGAAGTAAATAAGCTGCTGACAGATTTATTTCTTGATCTGAAATGTTATTTATAATCCCATATGTTTAAATACCTTTTTGTGTCTCTCCTTAGGCAATACAATGTCGACTATAAGTTGGATACGTACCTGAAAATTGCCCGTCTCTACTTAGAGGATGATGATCCAGTGCAGGCAGAGGCCTACATCAACAGAGCCTCATTGCTTCAGAATGAGTCCTCTAACGAACAGCTGCAGATCCACTATAAGGTACACAATCACTTATTGATTTCATGGCCACATACTGTATCTGTTGTTGTTGCTGCTGCCTGCAATTGAAACGTAACTGCTGTAATCAAACTTTATGGGAACCTTGCAGTAAGTGTTTCATGCTGCTTTTCTTCTCAGGTGTGCTATGCAAGAGTCCTAGACTTCAGGAGGAAGTTCATTGAAGCTGCACAGAGATACAATGAGCTGTCTTACAAGTCAATTGTACATGAGAGTGAACGTCTAGAAGCACTGAAACATGCCCTTAACTGCACCATACTGGCCTCTGCAGGTAGACGAATGTGTTTAGGTTCATGTCTTCATAAAAATATGGTAAATGACAAGCACTCAATAGTTGTTTTACCACGTGTCTCATACCAAATCTATTATATGTCCTTTGTTTTAGGCCAGCAGCGTTCCCGTATGTTGGCCACCCTCTTTAAGGACGAGCGCTGTCAGCAGCTGGCTGCCTATGGTATTCTGGAGAAGATGTATCTGGACCGGATCATCAGAGGAAACCAGCTGCAGGAGTTTGCTGCCATGCTGATGCCCCACCAGAAGGCCACCACAGCGGATGGTGAGTGGAGATAGTTGGTTCCACACAGGTTGATAAGTTGTTGGCAAGTTTTTGGTCACAATCTGTGTCCAACTAGTGTGTCATGTCTACAAAACTACAGTACCCTACTGGAATCAATGTAACATCTAACCACAGGTGTTTTATGGTGTATAGGTAGAAGTTAATTGTTGTGTTTTATGTCTTGATTGCTGATGATGTAGAATTATTAAGATGCTTATTTTAGTGACTTAAATTAACCAAAAAACAAGTAATCCATTACAGACTATATATTTTCACTGTGAACCTTTTATGGTCAGTATATAGTTATTGTCATACTGGCTCCACAACACTCTTACATGTGCAAGACTGGAAAAATTGCTAATTGAAAAGACTTGATTAAATCCAGTGGGATACATAATGAACTACACTTACAGTAAATTTTGTGCATGATCCTCCCCAGTGTGTGTAAATGAGCAGTACACATGTCTAACCACTCACAAACTGAGCCTCCAAGTTTGTGTTTCTGTGTTGATAAATTGCACAATGTGTCTGAAACGAGGCGAGAAAACTGAAAAGAATAAAAACTGAATGTTATTTCGCTTTTTAAGTCGTTCTTTCTCTCTCTCTCTCTCTCTCTGCCACACTCTTCTGTCTCAGGCTCCAGTATCCTTGACAGAGCTGTGATTGAACACAACCTCCTGTCTGCTAGTAAACTCTACAACAACATCACTTTTGAAGAACTCGGAGCACTGTTGGAAATCCCTCCAGCGAAGGTGAGATGTGGATTAGATCAACAAATCAGCTGATTAGATAATAGCGTCCGAGCTAGATTTCTGCTCGATGAGGAAATGAGTTGGATCCAAAATAAATGATTATCTGCTGATAATAAAAATCATTTTTACTTTACAAATGTAATATGTGTAGAGGTTTGTTTCCGTGCTGTATGTGGAGATCATAGTGTTGTTTTTTTTTTTTGTCTTTAGGCTGAGAAGATTGCTTCCCAGATGATCACTGAGGGACGCATGAACGGCTTCATCGACCAGATAGACGGCATCGTACACTTTGAGAGTGAGTGATGGCCGCCACAGTGTTTTTACATTGCATATAGAACAGAACTTGTCTCGGCATTTTTAGTGACCAAAGTACAGATTTATTTTTTAACTTAAAGTGACATTTACATTCCAACACAAACGCAACAGCTCACATGTGGTTATGACAATACTGTCCTTTTTTATATCCTGCTGTTTAGTTCACCTCCACTAAAAGTAGTCTGGCATCCACTATAGTTACATCCATAAGAGGTGTGCGACATCATCTTCCTTTTCCTTCTGGTATGGCAACCCGGCTAAAATCTGTGTTGGAAGGCTCGCTTTACTGCTTATCCAGTGTATTTATCAAAGCTGTAAACCCAGGCTTGGTCACCGTGCTGAGAGGCATCATATCTTTCCCTATGAACTCTGTTATTGCCTGAGTAATTTCCCCCGTGCCGTTTTGAATTACATTCACATGGAGTTATGCTTTCAAACATTTCGGTCAGTGATCCTTGTCGGGTGTTATTTGGCTTCCCGGACACACTGATGGTCGGCATTTTAGCCATGCAACTATCGTACATGGCTTTGTGGTGTATTTTTAAGTGCTGATACAGGTGTTTCCCTGTGACGTAGCAACGGTAGCGAGGCAGGTTCTGCACAGTGCCTGATTCTGTGCAGCATCTTCTTTTTTTAAAGCCAAAATAGTTCCACACTACGACGTACTGCTCCTCCCAGGCAAGTTTCTGCTGTGCCAGGTTCTGTCGAGCCTGTGGCCTTTGTACAACAGGTCAAAGTGTAGCGTGCCAAGTTGTTGCTCCCTCTTTTAGCCGACTGCTCTACTCTCACTTGCATGTCACATGACCAGAGTGTAATCGCAAATGTGATTAATCGTTCAGCCCTACCTGATAGCTTGTTGTAGACAGTATTGGATGCACTTCTGATACTAGTATTGGTATCAGAATATCTCTAATTTTAGCTACTAATTATGATGTCGCATATTAGACATATTATCAACTAAAATCGGAACTTATTGTCCATTTGCTTTAATCAAACAATAGACTGTTCGTTAAAAATGATTTTAGAATCAGATTGATCACACAGGTTGTGTGTTGAACTCAGATAATCTCAGTTCACTGTTCACAGGCGCCAAGAGTCTGGTCGTTATTAAAATGTTGGAACATGGGCGTGTTGTTTGGGAATATGTGTTGACAGAAGTGTATTTTGCATATTGTGTGGACCTGATGTTTTCATCAGATTGTATGAAGTTATATCATGTTGTTTATATTGTGATATTTAACTGTATGTCTATCTGCAGCCAGTAGGGGGCAGCCTGGTTATTGTCAGGTGCAGTGCTGAGATAGAGCAGGCAAAGCTCAGTAAAGCCACACACACAGTTTTAACATATAAGTTAGATTTCCCGTCTCCTAATCTTTCCTTTTGTCTCCGGCAGCCCGTGAACCCCTTCCTACCTGGGACAAACAGATCCAGTCTCTGTGTTTCCAAGTCAACAACCTCCTAGAAAAGATCCGTGCGGCTGCTCCAGAGTGGGCTGCACAGGCTATGGAAGCCCAGATGACCCAGTAAACATCCCCCACCCTACACCACCCAAAAAAAAAAAAAAAAAAGAAAAAAAGAAAAATTCACAAAACTGCTCCCTCAGCCCGTCCTAAAGTTTTGTCTTCCTGCTCAACAACGTGACTGAGTCCCAGTAACGGAAGCGCCCACGGAGGACACTCTGGTATCACCATCACTCATTTGAGATGTTTCGCTAAATTTTCAGAGAGCACTGTTTTATTACTTTCACCCACGAGGATAATAGTTCAATGTTTCCCAATATATCAGATCTGTGTCTGGCATAGATGTAATCACAGGAGAGGTATGGTGTAACCTTTGGGTGTGACTTTGGATACGATTCCTCAGATAGTTGCCGTGTCATGTCATCGGGTCAAAAAGAAGTGAAGAGATACGACTGATCGTTCTGTTTGTAGGGTTTTGCGTTCCAACACGTTCTCCTGTTTTTAAGCTCTGAAAATGAAACAGTTGTGGTTCTTGGTTTCTTCATGTACACATCTCGGTTCACCCTCATGACATTTCAGCAATGCATTCAGAATTAAATTCACAGCTGAGACAAATTGTTCGGCATCATGGTCGTGTCATTTAAGTTTATTTTCTCCTTCATTGAAATGTTATACAGTTTTAAAGGAGCTATTTGTAAGTTTTGCTGGTGCTACATAGCTAACGTTAGCATCAACAGCTGTTTACTTGCCAGTCTGGAAGAAACGTTGCAAGTTCAACATCAAACTTCATTCGTTTACTTGCCAACAGCTGTCTCCAGCAATGGAAAGCAACAGCAATGTTAACTCTTGTCTCTATCACTTCTTTTTCCTCTACTGAAGTTAGCATGCAAACCAGCTAGCCCCGGCTCGTCTCGTCACTTCCTGATAGTGACTCACTGTAGCCTCCAATCAGCCCTGAAGATGCAGCGCTGCTCAGAGGGCGTATTATAACCTCTCGTCTCGTAAAAGCAGCGATGGCCGAAGCGCCTGTCAAGCGACAATAACAAACACCTGCTCCCAGCTAGCAAACGAAACTTACAAATGGCCCCTTTTACAGCATGTATATGTCATAAATCATGACATGCACTCTCTGAGTTTGTTTTTCAGCAGCTCCCCCAGCAACATCCTCTTTTAGCTCCCAGTGTGTATGTTGCTGTTACTCTGAGGAAAGAATGGAGCATTTTCTTTAGAGTTGCCCAGAGTGCCGGACGATACAGCTTCATGTAAGTTAAAGTAGCTGGAGATTTTACCTAAAACATCTGTAATTGCAAACTTTGCCACCGAGATGTGCATTATGTGAGTTTCTCCACCTGTTAGCCCCACACAGCGCACACTCACTGTTGTGATTCCATCAGATCCGCACACAGGTTCTAACATTTAGGCTGAAGATATAGACATGTCGAAAAATGTTTGCTAGTCATGCACATAATACACAACTTTTCTGTGTGAATTCTGAAATCAGTTTTTAAAAAATATTTTACTGTTGCACCTGGTAGGCTGCAATTATCTATACAATATAAGCATATTAAACAAAGCTCGTTATTATTTTACCCTTTTGTACTTCATCCCTTGTTCATTTGAGAAAGAACATGGGTGGTTACAGTAACTCATATTAATATTCTTCATTAAATTCACTCAGTTGAAAGGCAGGACATAATGAGGACCAGAAGCAGAACAGAGTTTGTGGACATTTTGTTAGGTTGCATAATGACGGAACATTTATCATGATGTTTTTCACACGTGGAACTTCCTCTTCCTCCATCAAGTTTAAACACACAGTATGTTCTTTCTTTCACACAAGCGCACACTTTGACTTTCTCCATGAACCAAAACCTCACTTTGAATCTAAATTTACATTTACGTTATGTATGCCAACACACATTTGCAATTGTGTGTCAATGCTATAAAGAATAAGTTGTGTAAAGTTACTTTCATTATTAACAAATTCCCTGAAGACATTAAAACCAACAAAGGATTTATGATACTAACCAGTGTTGTTTGTGGAGCCACGGCCTTGTGTCACAGAGCAACAAAAAAAAAAACACAAAACTACTAAAAACACATTGAAGCTCCACACTGCTGCACGGCATGTAGCTTTTTCTCACTTGTCTTAACAGGAAAATGTGTTACAGATGAATTCTTCATGGTTCAGTGATATTTAGGTGTGCCAACAAGCTGTGCAGATGAACCAGCATGCACAGTACCAGAGCCGAGACACTGGCACAGCTAAATGGAATGCAGCCGTTGCAAATGTTATGAGAGACACCTGTGTGACACCTTCATCCAGCTAGTTTATTCCTATTTAAACTGGCAAAGTTAGAAAGTGTGAATAGGAAGTCATGTCCCTGAAACCCGATTAGATTAAACTACTACTGAATATGATAAGAAAAAAGAAAAATGTTTATTTTCTACAAATGTTTTTTTTTGTTTTTAGTCACTCTAGCAGTGTTTCATATGAAATCCCTGATATGAAACAATCTATAAAAAAATCAGGTTTAGCAAGTTTGATGTGACCATTTAGTTTACTGTGTTAGCATTTGCTAAATAGACACTATTTTATTTTTTTATTTTATTTTTTACAAATTTATGGACAAATTAAACATGATAATGATGCTGCAAGAGGAAAAGTTAGAGGATCCAAGTTTATCAACGATTTATCTTGAGAGGGACATGGATCTGTCCAGAAGTTGTTAAAATATTTCACTAAAAACCTAAAAGGTTTTAGCAGTCTTCTCCACATCCAGTCAACTGCTCAGGACAACACAGATAAAATTAGATTTTATTGTAAGAGTAAATAATGACACTGTTCTACAACATCAAATTGTGACCCGGATGATTAATGTATAACTTACTAGAAGATATGAATGTTCTTTATCTCAGAGGATTATATATAGTAAAGAAAAATCAAAAGGATGGTCTATGTCCAACATTATGAAAGGATGTAAAATACGGTGAACCATTTTATGCCTCAGCAGCTCAGCGATCCACCATTTACAGCCTCTCTTGTGTCATAGCAGCATCTAGAAGGCATAAAGCACGCATGAGATTTTCCATCATTTCAACAGCTCCATAAACTTGAGGATAACATAGCAAGTCATTATGAGGTGGTTTAAACGGGATGGGTGTGTTGTGGAGGTGCTTACCCCGTTCAGAAAATGCCCTGCTGCTTCCTGCGGTCAATATCTCTCTTCAGTTGGCAGGTTGCACACATGGGACAACACATGAACACCATGAAGTCATTACACAGGGACCCCTAGAAAACAACAGTACAAAAGTTACTCTTAGAGGTTGCAGCCTGGATGTCATGCACCGAGTCTGTGTTTTGCACAGTAAAGTTTAGAGTGTCTGTTGGATGGGGTGGGGTTGATGGCAATAAACAGGATTTTGCTCCAGTTTTATTATTAGGCACACCCCTATGCAAACACGTGTAAACCTAGATTACTTCAATTTAAGCAATCATGCATTTTTTATGTTTACATTTCTAAGGCTGTAAACCATGTGAACTTTATATGTCGTAATTAAAGTGGAAGTCAGTTGAAAGACAACAATAACGTAACAATTTTTCATGATGAGTGTAATGAGTTAGATATTTATTACTGGTAAAGGGAACAATGCTAACATGCTGATGTTTTGCAGGTATAATATTCACCGTGTTCACCGTCTTCGTTTAGTATTAACAATTAAGCGTTAAACACAAAGTACAGCTAGGGCTAATGCAATTTGTAGGTATTTAGTCATAAACCAAAGTATTGGACAAATTAAATCTTTGGCTAGGATGATGGCGCTAATCAGTCGATCACTAAAGTAATTAGGATTCACGCTCTAAAATGAAATACCAATCTATCCAATTGTTGTTGAGATATTTTAGCCTGGACCAAAGTAATGGACCAGTGGACACAACTGAACGAAATACCAGATGCTGCACAGAACGATGTTTACTTTTTCTAACGACCAGTATAACCAGGACCTGCTTCAATGTTCAGACAGGCTTATGTACACTTATGTACTTAAGTGTGATTTTGAATTAAGGACTTAAACCTGTAATGGAGTATTTGTACATGGATGTAGTGGTACTTTTACTTCAGTAAACACAATGGCTCTGATGAAGGGTCAGTAGCAAAAAAGTTTGGAAACTGCTACTAACACATGGCATTAACACATCCCTCCTGTTCTGCAGCAACTCCTGTACAGGTGTGATAATCTCACCAAAATGTACTGTCATACTCAGAGTTACCTAACAATACTGTTGCTGCTTTTTTTTCGCAGTGTCAACAGGGAGTCCCGCAGTTAGCCAGCTCCAGACATCCACTGAAAACTTACATTGATGTTGTATTTGGTCCTGTAGACGCTGCGGATGGACATGCTCAGTCCACACAGGCAGCACTCGTTCATGTCACTGGCAATGTTGCAGCCCAGGCATGGGTAGCAAAAAGTACCATAGCAGCCTGAGGCGAGAGAAATGCATGATGATGAAAATACACACACTGCATCTCGCAGATATAAATGTAGTCTTAAAAACAGATTTCTCACAGGTTCCACAGTCGTTGAAGACATCAAACAAGCCGGTCTGAAAGTCAGAGGCTGTGTATCTGCCTGGTTGCGTCGTCACAGCCATGATCAGGGTAAAAACTTTTCTCTGTCGGATGAAAAGTGTCACGGATGTTTGTTTCTTATCGCAGTTCTTGAGCCTAACACCGAAGAGCTGTGGCCCTATTTTGTGATCACTACTTCTGTCATCTTCCCCCCCAGCAGAGATGACTATAGATTACACCTCTTTTTAAACATCAAACAATATGGCAGCAGTGGACTCGTACAGTAAAGCTTCCCGTTTGGGATTCCCAGTTCAAGCAAGTCGTTAGGAGGTAAATCTTACCAGATGGTTGGAGAGCTGAAGGATGGTGAAGCTGAACAGCGGCGGCTCCTGGAGAACAGACTGAGACCAGGACGGAGGGTGAGTCTCCGACGTTATCACTGTTTATTGTGCATTCAACTATCTGTAACTGCACCTAAACCCAACCCACAATAGACCTCTTCTGTCACACCATCTCTCATTTTGGGGAACACACAACATGTTTCAGTTTAAGGAAATGTTAGTTCTGCAAATTATTGTTAATAACCCATTAAGGATTTTATCAAAGGTCTGATAGTGATTATTGAACATTATTAGTTGAGTGTGATTCAGCTGTTTTGCAAGCAGAGATGTATTTATCATAAAATATTATTTAAAATATTTAAAAAATAGGTATATTTAATTAATATACTCAATAATTATTTACCTGTATCACAGACATCTGTAACTAAGGAACTTTTTAACTTCTTTTTAAACCTCTTTTCCGAGTTTTATTTTGGTCAGTTAATCCAGCTCGTTCACACCAACTAAAGTGAGATGAACAAAGGCTGTAGTGGAAAGTACTTCCAAGTAAACTTTCCTCAAGTACTTAGGTACAATTCTGATGTACTTGTACATTACTTGAGTATTCCTACAATGATGCATTTTCATGCAGTAAATTAAACCACACAATTGTATATGAAATAGCTAGAATCCCCTCCATCTCTGCCAAATACAACATTAAAATACTGTTTAGATATTAATGCATCAGTGACAATGTCCACTAGTATAATATATAACAATATAACCCTGACAAGGCAATGTAGCCTGCACACTGAATACTTTCACTTTATACTAAGTAAATTTTGTTGCAGGTACTTTGGTACTTCTTCATAGTTTTGAATGCAGGTGTAGTTTTGTCATTTTTACAATAGGGTCTGAACACTCCTTCCGATTTCCAATTTATCTGTATTCAAACATCAGGGTTATATGGCTCGCACACCTTGTCCTGCTTCATTTAATCTGAGCTGAAAATCTCTTTGAAAGCGCAAAGTACACTGGTTTGAGAGTTAAATGTAACGTGGTGATTACATGAGCCTGTCTTTAAAAATAGATTTAAAAAAAAAAAACTCCCTTTAAGCTCTATACATTTCAAAGCCCTGCTATGCTCCTCTCAGACACATGGCGGCGCTGCTCCCCACCATCTCGCTGCTCTCCTGCTCAGGCTGTGCAGGAGAGCAGTAATGACGACCTGACTGTAATGATATAGGCTCCTACATAATGAGCAGCTGTAAATGCAGCTCAGGAATAGGCATGATTTTCAATTTCCGACAGACTAAAGATAGACCTGGGCTAAATTACACCAAAATACACGGGGCTGCCATTAGCGTACACTACAGCGGGCTCTTAAAAATACTTCAACCTTTCCCCGCAGTGGTTACATCCACTGATTCAGACATCAAACCTCCAGGCCTGGGTCATTATTGCCAATAAATGTGTGTATTCTGAGCGGCCTGACGCTTTGATTTATTTGATTATTACCACCTTTCATGATACCACACAGTTAACCCAGGTGATGTCAGTCCAACCTGTGTGTATTTATTTAGCATGACATCAGTTTTCATTCATTAAATTCAACGTTAGTGCCAAACAAATGTCAGAATATGTTCTTTTTTTTTTCCTGATATTGCTCTTTGTTGATATTGGTGGTTGCTGGGCGATCATCTGCTGTCGCTCGTATCATCACCATCCGTCAGACTTACACAGCAGAATATCAGTGTTTACGAATGGTGGGAAGTGCATTTACTCAAGTACAATTTAGAGGTAGTATTCGTATCTTTTACTGATGTGAGAGTGTCAATACCTTCATGTAGAAATACTTCATTACAAGAAAAAGTCCTGCATTCAAAATCCCACTTCAGTTAAAATAGAAAGAGAATCATCATCTAGTTTAGACCAGTGGTTTCCAGTCTAGGGCTCAAAGGGTCGCCAGATACATCTGAGGGGTCGTGACATGATTAATGGGAGAGGAAAGAAGAAAAAACTAAGTTCTTTATGAAGTTGTGTTGTATTTTTGGGGATTTTTCTTTAATCTTTGACATGTTTTCGGGCCTGAAATGGTCGTTTAGATGAAACCAGTGTAGAGTGGAAAAGGAGCCACGACTACACACTGAATTTTATTTAAAGAGTCACAATACAGCAGTGATGGAGTACTGTACTTAAGTATTGGTACTTTACTGGAGAATGTCCATGTTACTGCACTACATGTTTTTGACAGTTACTATAGTAACTATTTACTTATGCAGGTAATAAAACGAGTTCAGATATAAAACATATGATCAGTTAATGAAATAAGATGCATTGTTATAGATGAAACTATGTATAGAATAGTTAAAGTTAGCTCAACTTTGACCAACTAAAACATTAAAAGGCTGCATACACGTGTTCATCAGTTAATAATCTCATTATATTATTATGCAGCATTCACAGGGCTCAGTTTTCTACTCTGAGTACTGTTACTTTCTATGTCTTAGTACGTTTTGATAATTATACTTTTACTTAAGTAACGTTTTCAATACAGGACTTTTACTTTGAAGGCGGTATTTTTACATTTTTGTATTAGCACTTTTACTGAAGTAAAGAATCAGAATTCCTGCTCCGCCACTGCAGCTCATAAAGGTCGGTACTCGCCAGATTAACTTTTAACAATGTGTTGTATCTAATACGAGTTTTTCATGTAAAATCTTAATCTGAAAAGTGACTAGCTGTCAGATAGTGGAGTAGAAAGTACAATATTTCCCTCTGAGATTTACTTTGTTTCTGTCCACTGATCATTTTGTTGCTAATACTTCTGTACTTTTTCATCAGTAAAGTTTTGGATGCAGGCCTTGTGTTTGTAATGGAGTATTTTCAATGATGGAGGAGGTATTCCTAGAAGTAAAAGTTACTATACCACCAAGTAGAAATACTCCATTATGTATGTACGTAGAATAAGGTGTTTAAAGTAGAAGTGCTCATAACTCAGACAAATGAAGCCTGTGAGCGTCGTCTTATATTCTCCATTATGTCATTATCACTCCCTGAATATAGGGCTGCGACTACGGATTCTTTTCATCACGGCTTGATTTGCTGATTATTTTCTCGATTAACTGATTGACTGAGGTCAAAGTGAGTTCTGCACAAAGTTTATTTTGTCCAACTAACAGCCCGAGCCTCAAAACTATTAAAAATGAATTAAAATAGTTCAAATAATCGAGGAAAAAGCAGCAGATCTTCACATCTGAGAAACCAACATGATTCTCAAAATTCTAATTAAATCAGAATTAAGTCTTTGCCAATTGACTTGATTGATTAATCTCTTATCATTTCAGCTCTACTTACACAATACACACTGACGGGTCGTCTGATCATATTCTATAAGCGCTTGTTATAGCTTTTATGCAAGAATCTGAAGCACCAGTAACTACAACTGTCAAATAAATGTCATGGGTTCATTAAGTTCATTAAGTGTCTTTGAGTATAAAGTTGCATGAATAATACTCAAGTAAAGTTCCTCAATATTGTACTTAAGTATAGTACATGAGTAAATGTACTTAGTTACTTCCTACCAAATATTTCTGCACTTTTACTTGTAATGGAGTATTTTTTTAAATAAAGTTTTATTGCTGCTTTCACTCCAGTAAATGATGTGAGCATTCCAACCCTGCCCGACCCCCACCAACCCCCCCCCCCCACCACCACGCCACAACCCCCACCCCCCCCCCCCCCCCCCCACACACACACACACACTTGACTCTTTTTCTTAAAGGGCTCTGAAGTTGAAGTGTTATTTCAGGGCAGCCGCACTGATAGACATGCGCCACAGCTGATGGGAGAGAGAGGCACATCTGCACTGACGTCAACCCCCCCCACCCCCCCTCCCCCCACCCCCCCCCCCCACCCCCAACCCGAAAAAGCTGCCAATTTGAAGCTGTCCGAGACTGGGACATACCCGGTTTCTGCAATGTAGTGAGGAGGAGCAGCTCCAGGCCAACTTTTTTTGCTGGTGTTTGCATGCTCTTTTCTCCTAGGCAAGTCTGCTGTGGCGGTTTGTGAGGTGGCAGATCACCCTCTACAACCTCATCTAACTTTTTAAGCCACTCTGAGCCACCACCACCACCACCACCATACCAGCACCAGCACCAGCACCAGCACCAGCACCAGCACCAGCAGCAGCAGCAGCAGCAGCAGCAGCAGCAAGAACACAACGTCTAGATTATAAAGACGACTGATAGGCTGGAAATAGATCCTTCTGCTGCTGGAGGAAATCCAAGAATTTGAAAAGGCTGACTTTTGTGTGTGTGTGTGTGTGTGTGTGTGTGTGTGTGTGTGTGTGTGTGTGTGTGTGTGTGTGTGTGTGTGTGTGTGTGTGTGTGTGTGTGTGTGACAGTGTCTGGTCCGAGATACTGCTGCTTGGTCTGAAGGGGAGAATCTCACTGCAGTTTCAGAGGATGGCAGAGTCCAAAAGGAGATGAAAAGAGGAGAGCTGAGGAGGTTTGCGTGCGGAACTTCACAGCCCTTTGTCCCGAGCTCTCCCTGCACACTTGGACCGGAGCTGACAATGAAGATGAGCATGGTAAATATCTCCTGTTAACACTTCCCCGTCTGTTGAGAATAGGACTCTATGTCTTTCGGTCTTGCTTTTGTCGGGAGCAGATTCGTGTGAGCGTTTAAATCCTCTTAGGGAAGCGGACACTGTTTACAGACCAGCATTTAGCCAGTTCAACTTTGGCACCGACAGTTCAGACAGAGGTGGAAAAAAAGTGTCGTTTTGCGCACATTTACGCACAGTTTCTACATTTGCAGGGTGTCAAGTTTTGCACCGTTACAGGTCTGCAGTCCGCGCTGCTCCCAGCAAACTAACAAAAACTTCTTGACAGAGCACGGCTCACACCTTTTGCAACAAAACCCACGGTTTATTTTGACGTGCAGACGCTCCGTGGAGGTTGTATTTGAGGTACCGGTGTAATGCACAACGGGCCGGCTGCCAACTGTCTGGGTCAGAGTGGCCAAGTAGGTAGCTGTCTGTCTGTCTGGACCGCTGCAGCTCTACAGCTCAAGACACACACACACACACATTCACACACACACACACACATGCACGTACACAAATCCCGGTTTCCAAAGGCTGTCATCCGTGTTTGGACACTTTTCATTGGGCATCATCCTGCTATCACTTGGACCCGCTGACGTTTGTTTATAGTGGTCTAGTTTGCACATGCTGCCGTGAAGCGCGTCAGTGAGTAAAACCACAACCTGCAGAAATTATATCATGTCGACCAGTCAGCCCCGTTGGCGCTGTTCAGACTTATACATTTTCTTCTAATGTGGTCGTTTTCTTTTCTTTATTTATTTATGTATTTTTATCGCACTGCACTTTAAGGCCATTAGTCATTAAACTGTCATCTCCTGCAGAGCGAGATTTAATTAATAAGGAAGTGGCACTTGGCGGAAATGTAACCAAAGTCAGTGCTGCTCCTGGCAGTTTACTCTTCAAGTGTCAAATAACGTGTTCAATTAAATGATGTGTTGAGTGAGGGAGTCCCACTCAAAGATAATGAACTCTGTGGGAGATTGTCATTCGTTTACCACAAGCTAGAGCTGCAGGGAATGTTTATTTTTCATTAAAGCTGCAATGATTAATGGAGTAATTGACTAATCGACCAACAGATTGATTGTTTCTGTCGTTTTTCAGGCAAAACTTTCAAAGTTTTTCCGGTTCCAGCTTCATAAATGTGCAGATTTGCTGCTTGTTGTTGGTTTATTTCTTTGTAAATTGAACATGTTTGGGTTTTTGAGTGTTGGTCAGATAAAAGACGCAACTCCAAGATATCATGTTGGACTACTTTAACATTAGTTGTGTATCCCTGATTTTCATTACTGATTGATCCACCAGTTGTTTGTGGATTAATCCATCAAACATTTGGTCTATAAAATTTCAGATAACAGTGGAAACTGTCTGTCAGACCTTAAGGTGACATCTTCAAATTGCTTGTTTTGTCAGAGCGACCGCCCGCAGCAAATCTTGACATTTGAGAAGCTGGAAACATTGAACTTTCAGTATGTGCTTAAAAAAATTACAAAAATGATCAATATAATATTAGAATAGTTGCCAATTAATCACACATTGATTGCCGATTAATTGACTGTTCGTTTCAGCCCTACAACAGACAACAATCTGAGTAAGTGATAATTCCTAGAGATAAAGGGTCATTTAACCTCTGATTGATTTCCTCCACAGGAATGCAGATGGATCGGTCAAGACAAGTTCCCAATATAGAGCTTCCTGTTTGGAGTTACACCTGAGAGTGACTGTGCGTCTGATGGATTACGGTGTTTTCTACGAGCTGCTGACATGAATTCAGAGGCCAGTGGGATGTGGAAGTTCTCGCCTTCAGGAGAAATCTGAGACCCCGGATGAGCCTTCGAGCACGACGAGAACATTTCAGCGAAGGAGACAAACCATGGACTTGTTATGGTGTGGCATCGGACCGACCGTGTGCTTTTAACCCGTTTGTAGCACCCTCTACCCCCACCCCATGTCACATCTTTCCCTGAATTATGGAAATTTTGTGGAAGACGCTGACTTGGACACTGAGCCTGGTGGTGATGGCTGCTTCTGAATTTCAAAGCGTCAACAGACTTTCACACAACTCTCAAGGTATGACGTAGACAGTTCGGACAGGGAGATTATTGTAACGCTATGTTCATTGTCACAACATCTTCTCTTCTCCACTCTTCTCCTTTTCTTTCTCCCGTAAAAGAGGAGTTCCTGTCCTACCTGCAGCACTACCAGTTGACTGTCCCGGTGCGGGTGGACGAGAACGGAGAGTTCCTGAGCTACACTGTGAAGCACCACCGGCCGGGCCGACGGAGACGGGGGGCGGTGGACCCCATAATGGGGCCGGTGCCCGCGTTGGACCCGGACCCTCCGGAGTCCCGGCTGTTCTACAGACTGTCAGCTTACGGAAAGCACTTTCACTTAAACCTGACACTCAACCCCCACCTGGTGTCGAAACATTTTACAGTGGAGTATTGGGGCAAAGAAGGGCTGGAGTGGCGTCATAACATGGTAGATAACTGTCACTATGTTGGATTCTTGCAAAATCAGCACAGCACAACCAGAGTGGCGCTCAGCAACTGCAAAGGCCTGGTGAGTACAAAGTGGCGTTTTAATTATTACCAGTGACCAGCCCACACTCTAACTGCCCCTCGAGCCACATAGAGTTCACACTCCTTCCCTTCAGATACTAACGTCAGTACATATACCTGACTTGTGCTGCTCTCATGTCAGCCAGTCTTTCAGGATTAAGCCAATTGTAGTTTGCTTAAAACAATCTTGGCCTCTTTCCACTTGGCACACTGAGTCTGAGCAGGCAGCTCGTAGTGAGGTGATGCTCATGTATCACATCATCGTAGTGATCTGTCAGTGCTGAGCATCGGGGGGGCTTTTCCTTCCAGTTGTGCATTAGATATCACACTTTATCCATGAATTTTCAAAGCCTCAGTGCAGACCACATTTATCTGGTTGATCCTTTTTGTGATCTGTAAAATAATGTGTCTAACTCGTAGATATTACCCCATTTCGGAGTGCTCTGTTCAAAAACAAAACCGAACAGCGGTAACAAGGCATCTAATTATCCTGTCTAAGCTTTTAGTCCTCAGGCTTTTATCCACAGACTGTGCGACTGTCCAGCTTCTCTTTCGCTAATCAAGGAATTGGAAGAAATTTTAATAGCTGTTATCCCTCCTTGCTTCAGACTAACTCTAAAGAAGGGAGAAAAAAAAAGGCCCTGCTTCTTATTGGCAAATGGAGTCATGTGGAGAAAACATGTAGCCAAATGTGTTGGCAAGACCTGCGCCGAGTATCATAAATTGAATTAGTGTTTGCCCTTTTTTCTAACAGTACCAAAAATGGACAAAAATGTGTCTGTACTTTAATGTAATCAGCTGTCTGTGCAGTTTGAGATCTTGACATCACACACTATTAAAACCATAAATCGAGGATGTTTCTGTTTGCTAGTGTGATGTGTGGTTAATTGCTGTCATTGTGGGTTTCACAGAGTCAAACCAGTGTTTTCCACAAACTCACTTTAAAGGACTCCTCTCTATTGGCACTGGAGGGCAGTGAATGATGTTTTAATGTTGGTGTGACTGTAATATTGATTATTTGGGGTTTGACTGCACACTAGTGACTAATAAATGATTGCAACAGACAAAATAAGTTTAAAAAAAATGGTCACAGCCTGAGATATCCTGACTTTTAGTCCCAAGTATCAGTCAAACTCTAAAAACACTGAATCCTACATTTCCCATAATGCAACTCAAGACTTTCCCTGCCAGGCAAATACATATGTATGTCAAACACCACCAGTTTAAATTGTCAGCTTGCTGTAAAAATGTAAAGCCTCTTGGCCCACGCTAAGCTAACCTGGATGACGTCATCAGGGTTAGCTTATGTTTTCAGACTCAAAAAACTACAGAAGAAACTTTACAACTGTTGACGGTGTGTTCAGACAGAAAGCAAAGACAATTTTTGCCTTGGATTATCTGCGCAAATTTGACCATTTGTGTGTCTTCTCCCCAAACAGCCCAAGTACCAACCGCGCAGACGTTAGCTGTACGCTAGCTAGCGACGGATGCACTGACTGTTGCTAGCTAGCTGCTCAGCTCATCTCAGCCTCTGACTGCTCTAAGAAACTCACTATAAACTCTGGTTCAGTCTCTTTCCTTCTTCCACTTATCTCTGTACGTTCATGACGCAGATTTATTAAGCTGGATCTGTGCAATTTTTTTCTTGTCTAGCCTCTGTTTTGAAGCGTGTTCTTGGAATTTACTTTTAATATTCGATAAATTAGCTTCAGTACAGCAGTTATTAACGATGATAAACTAACGGCGACCCCTTGACGCCCTCATGTACTCGTCTCTTCTGTCAAGTCATGAATATTTAGCCCGTGAACATCTAGGGGCTTATGGGAAATGGCTTTTGTTAAATGTCGCTAAAAACATAAATATTAAATAAGCAACAATATCATACATACGAATAAACATACTTAGCAAGTCAAATGACAAAGTGTTGAGAAAGGCTCCGTTCCAAGGCTCTCTGTTCACTTCTGATGCAATCATGTCGAATCTAAAGTTTGCTTCGCAAGCTGTCTGAACACACAGTAACAACTAAACTGAACTTTATGTGTAAAATAGTTGAGGTACCCCTTTAATAGAGTGAAATAAGAAATACAGAACATGCACTGTAAGTTTTTCTTGCATTTTCTTAAGGTTTATGTATTCAGCATTGATGTTTGCTTGTGTTTGTAACCTGTTTCTTTCACTGATTTTTTTTATTTTTTTTTCCTTCCCTAACAAGCATGGTGTTATAACAACAGAGGAAGAACAGTATTTAATAGAGCCATTAAAGAACATATCCTCCACCACCTCCAGTGAATGGAACCTGGAAGAAGCACAGCAACATGTTATTTATAAAATGTCTGCCATTCCCTCACCGCAAGAGCATAGCCAGGAGTTCAGCTGTGGCATTTCAGGTTGGTGAACCTCCATCTGGGTTGGACTCTGTGTGGGTGGAACTGACGTAAAGGAATAACTATACATAGCAGGTTAGAGGAAGTGCTGGTTTGGTTCTAGGCCCAGGTTCTGGTAGACATGACCGGGCCTCTTGTGTGCTATAGTTGCTCCTGGCCTGGACACCTTTCAACCTGTAAGAGAAAGTCTCGCTCCAGCTTTCATAAAAGGCCCTTCAGTGCATAAAGAGAACTTGGCTCTGACTTTTATTGAAGTACAAATCCTATTTATAGAACCAGCAATCATGTTCAGATTTAAAAATTTAGACAACTCAGTGCCCCCAAACACTCTGGCCCCTGAGATATGACGAATTGGAAAAAGAACCAGGTGGATATTTAGGTATTTGGGCCAAGGTCTTATAAGAAACAGCAAAGGCTGTCATCGCCAGGAAGCTAGCATGCCCTAACATGTATCATCTTATAGCTTTTTCCCAGAGCATCTGGGTCATAAAGCAAAGGCTTTAGCCGCAAGGTTCAAAGGGGCAGATTCCCTACGTGCATCTACCATTCACAAACCAGCTCTCTCACATAGATAATGCATCATAAGTTTGATTGATTGTTATTTCACAATTCACTACAACCCGCAGTTGTCTCCCTGTCGTTCACAGACCTCATTAAAAGCAGTGCACCTTGCCAGTTTAGCACACCTCCACCTGTCCACTCGTCCCCTGCCCCCCAGAACGACAGCGAGCGGTCCAACAGCACCCACAGACAGAGGCGCTCCGTCAGCACCGAGCGCTTCGTGGAGACGCTCGTGGTCGCTGACAAAATGATGGTCGGTTACCATGGACGCAAAGACATTGAGCACTACATCTTGTCTGTAATGAATATTGTAAGTTTGATCCTAATTTTTGGTCATGTTGTCGTTACCTACCACACAGTTGAACATACAGTTTTAATTGTTGCCAGTTTAGTTGGTGGATGTGTGTTGTAATGTTTAGAGCTGCCGATTATTTCTTTGTTTTATCAGTTGATTCTTTTGTCCAGAAAATGTCAGAAAACAGTGAAAGATGCCGGTTACAACCAAAAATATTCAGTGTGGTGTCATGTACAACAAAGAAATGCATCAAATCCTCACATTTTAGAGGCGGGAACTAACAAATATTTGGCATTTTTTCTTTAAATAATTATTAAAATGATTATTGAAAGCTCTAGGAGGTTTTACAGGAAAGTATTTAATGAAGGCAGATGAGACGTTATGGCATATGGACACAATTTGTCTGACTTTGTGTCTTTTCTTCTTTTCTGGAGGTCAGGTTGCCAAACTTTACCGTGATGCCAGTCTAGGAAATGTTGTGAACATTATTGTGACCCGGCTGATTGTTCTGACTGAAGATCAGGTGAGAAAAAAATCTCTGTATGTTTGTTTGTTTTTTTTTTTTTAAATTCATTTCACTAACTCTAATCTGTCCTTTCAATATTACCATGAGCCCTATATAGTGTCTGTACCCTCACCTGTAGTGAGTGTATAACTGATATGCTTGGCGTGAGTGGGCTGCAGTATTTTATGTGATTGCCGTGGCTGAAGGGGAGAGAGAGGAGAGACTATTCACCATATGGCCACCACTTCAGATGAAAGATGTGCTCAGGCATCTTCCCTCAGGGAGCCTCGATTGAGGATTTTTACATGCACTGTACATGTGTATGTATGTGTGATGGGAGAAACAGAGTGTCTCCCTAGCATCTGCTTTTTTCTAAAGGGGTCATAGCGGCTCTTTATGTAGCATCAGGTCCAAAAAAAAAAAAAAAAAGAAAGAAAGAAGAAGGTTTCATGTTAAGTAGAGCCACACTTTGATCCAAAAGGAAGGAAGTACTAGTCTAATTGCCATGGATTCGGATTAACTGATCAGAAAATAGTTAGAAAATATTTTATGGTGAAAGTGAATCACTGACGGGCGGTTGAGCTGTTCAGTATTGTGCTGTAATCAATCAGTGGGTAAGCTGAGTTCAGCACTGCATCATCAGCTGGAAACGTAACGGTCTGCTATAATTGAACCTATTACATTCATAGAAGTAGATGCATTTTGCAGACTCCACTACAACTTCCCCAACCGTCCTTCTTTTCCTGCTGCTCCTCTTTCCCCTTCTCCTGCTTTTTGTTTTAGCTTCTCTTAAAATACAGTATTTCCTCTCCTCCTTTGACTCTCCTAACTCCTTCTGCTATAAACGGCTTTACCTTTTACCAGAACTGCGCTACGCTTAAATCAAATACAAAAAACATGTAGCTGTTCCAGAAACTTGTTCTCCAACCTCCCACTGATCCCAGTACAATCCTCCTCCATATAATTCATCCGGATAATTGTTGTACTCTGTCGGCAGTTTCATGACAGTGTAACTTTTTTTTTTTCTCTTTTTGCCTTTATTGGACGGAAGACAGTTGAGACAGACAGGAAGTGAGGGGCGAGGGAGGGTTGTGATGTGCAGCAAAGGTGTCTGGCTGTAATTGAACTAGGGACGCTGTGTGCACTTAATCATACCACTGAGCTACGTGACAATCCTCATGGCACATACTTTGATAACTTTTGCGTAGGTAGAAATATACTGTTTAAGCATTATTACAATTGCTTTCAATTAGTCCACATGTATTCATCATGAAAATGGATCTTTTCAAGTTGTTTGGTGCTGTAGCGTATAGTATACAATATGATACAATACGATACGATATGATACGATACGATACGATACGATAAAGTACAATATCACACGATACGACACAAAACTATACCAAACGGCACGATATGACACGACACGACATGAGAAGTTGTAAAATGCTACGACAAGACATGCTACAATATGTTACAATACAAAGCAACACAACATATGATATGATACAATACAACATGACATAACAATACGATACATATGATGCGATAACAACACGCTAACAACACAACAGTATATGACACAACACAATATAATACAATCTGATCAACACGACACAATTTGACACAAGACAGTTTGATATGATACAAAATGATACATCCCAACACTGAATGATACAATACAACACAATACGACATTATGCAACACGATACACGATTGCGTGACACAGCACAATAACAACACAACACGGTACAATGTGACGAAATGACACATTAACTGATACGATATTTTCATGCACTAAAAGAAACTGTATTGTGTTTTGTCATGTGGTTTTGTTTTACTATTCATACTGTTGCACCCTATTGCATGTGTGTTGTGTTGTCTTTCTGCAGCCAAACCTGGAGATTAACCATCACGCTGACAAGTCTCTGGACAGTTTCTGTAAGTGGCAGAAGTCCATCTTGTCTCATCACAGTGATGGCAACAGTATTCCTGAAAATGGGATGGCTCATCACGACAATGCTGTCCTAATCACTCGGTAAGTGTGCTGGGTGTGGACCACATTTTCCTAATTTTTCGGCACGGATTCGTGTACTTCAAAGAGTGAGAGTTGTTCTTTGCAGTTGCTACTTTTGTTGTAAATAGTGCTAATTTTCTCATTTTGAGCAAATAGGTTGCAGGTTATTTTCTGTGCTGTTGGCTCACAGAAGCTGTGCGGTCACGGTTCAGCTTCAGACTGTAGATGTGTGTATATGTGTGTGTGTGTGTGTGTGTGTGTGTGTGTGTGTGTGTGTTTTCTAATAGAGGTAGCCAGCAGCTACAGCAATGTCCAGTTCTTGCGCACACACTTAACCTGTACCCGTTAAAGCTGATGGGAATAAAGACCTCAGTTCTGAAAATAAAATGTGCTGTACCTGTCACACTGCAATTTATTTCAAGGGTGTTACCTTAAAACAGTAAAACCTCTGTCATTACCTGGAATAGGCTTCATTGTTGCCAGGACTGTTTTGGCCACATAGCCTCACAACTGAAGCATATTCCCCCCATTGGTTTTGTCTAGAGAGAGGATGGTGTTCTGTGATTGACATGGGCGAAAGCCAAGATTTTGGACTCTCTGGGTTGTCCGTCAGGTGATGGTCTCCAGCTCCTTTGGGCCCTGTTTTTATATTTTTGGTTTTAGCTTCACTCCGTAAGTACCAGCACCAAAGACTGCTTAGTAGCGTCTTGGGATTTGTCTCTGGGGCTGTAATTATTTCAATTTCCTCTCTAGGATGTGATCAATATGTTCCTATTCTCATTGTTTTAAGATGCCAAACACCTCTTGGAACTGGCTGGTGACTCACAAACATACTCAGTCATATTTAGGAGCCTTGCACTCCACAAAAAGTAGCTGCATAGTAATTTTCAGACCAGGTCTGCACAACCCAACCTGCACCACCTATCAGGAGAAGAAAGCAATAGCAGCAGATGTAGACACATCAGTGTTGCCACCTATGGTAAAGTTGTTATGGCTAATGTAGCTACTAGCAAAAACTTTACAACATCATCCCAATGGAGATCTTACAGAAGTAAACTTAGTATTAACTCTGTTGCTTTTGGCTCTGCTTTGGTCTCCAACAACTCTGGAGAAAACTTTAGTTTGCTACTTGTTCCACTTTCTTCACAAGATAGCAGCTAACTAGGTGATAAGGTAGCTAGCTAAGTAGTGATTTGTCATAGCTTGTTTACTATGAAAAGCTGCAACTTGATAGATGAGAGCAGCGAGGCTGAACCATACAGTAAATGTGCTAATGAATGCTAGTGCAAAAAACTGTAAGACCAACAACAATTGAGCTAAGATGTTTTGTGCAGCTCTACCAAGTGATTAAATGTTAATACAATATTAGCGATTAGCAATAGCTAAACTCTGTGCAACTCATTCAATTCCTATTCCATTTTTTTAACCATGCTAGCAGTGTAAACCACTTTGGTCCATGTTGAAATATCTCAACAACTATTGGATACATACATAACTTATGTGGATCCCTTGACTTTTCTTGTAGCGCCAACATGAGTTTCACATTTGTTGTTTACAGCTATTGATAGGATTGCCATGACATTTGGTGCACACATTCAGGTCACCCTAAGGATGAATTGCAGTAAGTTTAGTGATCTCATGACACTTCATCTATAGATCAAGTCAAAATTTCAGTTTGTCTTGTCATACTGCAGTTTTCCTCATTGCCTGCAGGTGACACTGGCATTAATTTTGTAGAAGCTTTACTGCCTGTAGGTGGCGCACATCAACACTGCTGTTGCTTTCTTTTGCTGATTGGTAGCCAAGCCCATAATTAACCTCAGTGCTTCGAGTTACTTCCATATGGTTTTGAGTAAATATAGTATTGGTGAATAGTTAAACCGAGGCAAAGCGTAGGCGAGAGATAATGAGATAATAAGCTGTGGGGAGGGCGCACCAGCTGAGCTCAGAGATGCTAACATTGGAGATCGTATAAATAGCTGATGGTAGACACCAGGAAGCTCTTATTAACCACCATGTCTGGAGGAGCAGTCAGACATTCCTCGTGATGGTGGAATGCGCCTGAATAGGTTCAGTATGATTTAAAGATGGCTGATGATTGCAGCACAAGCACCATCTCAGAGGACATTTATTCAATTCATTCTTTTGGAGCATTGTGTCTTTGGTTTCTCGATCAAAGAAGAACTGAAACTATGAATATTTTAATGACATAAGTTGTTTTTCATGCATAAACACAAAACAATACGCCAATGTTTTACAGGCAGGGTGAAACCAAAGGCACATATGCCTTTAAAATGTTTTATTTGTTTATTTCTTTTTACCCTTTTAAGAATAAAGAATTCATCTATAAAACTATTTGTTTTAGGGCTATATCCAACAGTTAATGTCATTTTCCCCATTAAAGGAGCTATTTGTAAGTTTTGCCATTGCTACATAGCCAACGTTAGCATTTACAGCTGTTTACTTACCTGTCTAGAAGACACGTTGCGAGTTCAGCATCAAACTTTCCTCTACTCACCAACAGCTGTCTCCAGAGGTGGAAGACAACACCAGTGTTAACTCTTTTCTCTATCACGTCTTTTCTTCTTTTGAAGTTAGCACACTAACTAGCTATCCCCGGCCCGTCTCGCCACTTTCCGATAGCGAGTCACTGTGGCCTCCAATCTGCCCTGAAGACGTAGCACTGCTCAGTGGGCGTATGATGACTTCTTGTCTCGTAAACACAACAAAGGCCGAAGCTCTTGCCAAGCAACAATCACTACCACCCGCTCCCAGTACGAGCCAGTGTTTGGCAGAAGAGAAAAATGACAAATAGCCTCTTTAATTACAGAGTTAGAGCAACTTATATTAATACTCATTTGGGAAAAAATGACTCATGTATGAGTGTGTATCTCACTACCAGACTAGAGATGTAACTGACTGTACATTTACTCGTCAGGGAAAAATATTTCTGCTAGATGGCCACGGGCCGCTATGTGCCTCCCTCTGGTGCATCTCAGGTTCCTCATTACACACATCAAACCAATCCCAACTTTGTAATTCATCCAAACACTCAGAAATGAATACAGTTATTATTTAAGAAATATAGGGACTGAGGCCTTCATGGGCAGCGGGACACACAAAACCTTTTCCATTTAGATGATTCACCTCATCTCCCTACTCATCGTCATAAAAGTGACCTCTGCGGCTTGTTTGTCTGTCTGTGCGTCGGGTAGCCTTTTGCCTTGTTTGGAATGCGGCCTGTCACGTTCTAAATAAAGACACTGATGGAAATTGTGGAAAAAAAAAAACAAAAAAAAAACAAAACATCAAAACAAATAGACGTCCTGAACGAGGTCACGATTGTACCTCACTGGTTTGGAGCTGCTCCACTGGGGGAGGAGGGAGAGAGAGCAGAGAGGGAGAAGAAGCAAAGGAAGAGGAGTTTATGGAGAAATGAAAGAAAGAAAGGGAGGGAGGGAGGGAGGGAGTGAGTGAGTGAGGGGAAGGAGAGTGAAATTAAATTTGCTGTGCCCTTGGTTTTAATAGATTAAAAGCTTTAGGAATGATTGGATCATTTATTTGAAATGTATGATGTGTTCTTAAAGAATTGGGGCTCAAGAGTGTTCAGGCCTCCCCTCCCTTCGCTCTATTGGATTACCTGTATGTGAGTTACAGGGGGGTTAACACTAGGGACCGAAGCCTTTCACTCTTATTCTGATTCTGCGTGTTGGACCTGGATGACATTTCGCTAACAGATGTAGGAGCGAACCAGGTGTTCTCAGAAACTTCACGATAAGCTATTGTTATGCTAAATGTTGAGATTGTATCTGTGTGATTAAATATGGAAAGAATGGAGCGACAAAGAGCCAGCTGAAGAAGTCGAGTCAATTTAATTATTATTGTTCTTTCCCTTTTCTTGCCTCTCCTCAGGTATGACATCTGCACCTACAAGAACAAACCCTGTGGTACCTTAGGTGAGTATATACAGTCATTTGACATGTGTTTTCTTGCCAAATAGGAAACCTTAGCTGCCGTCGACTATACGAGTCTCATTCTTCTCTTTTCTCCCCTCTGGAGAGGTTTTCGTTTTCACCTTCTGCGTGTCCTCAGACAAACCTTATTTAGCAACCTTCGCAGTCTCCCCCTTCAGAGGAACACCAGACGGCTCCTGCAAGACATAATGAGAAGGATGTTTTCACTTGTGTTATTATAGCTCCTCAGTGGCTCTCCTTGTTGTCGGTTGAGGCCGGGAGCCGTGAACCTGGACAGCCGTGGTCACCTCCTCCACACGGCCTCGCATTTATAAAACTCCTCTGTCTCTCTCCTCCGCCTCTAACCTCAGTTTGTCCAAGGTGTTTACACTTCCACCGGGACTCAGAGGGAGAAAGGAAAAGGTATGTGTTGGAAAGTCAAAGAGGAGGAGGAGGTAAAGGGGGGGAGGGGGATTGAAGGATAAAGAGCAGAGTAGTGACAGAAGGAGGAGATGGAAAAGAAGAAGAGGAGGAGTTGAAAGGAAAATGGAAGGGGAAAAGGACAATTACAGGGAGTGTTAGAGTATGCAGGAGGGAGATAGAGTGGGTGATATGCTGGTTGTGGAGGTGCTGGGGGTGGAAAAAGGACAGCGAGCGGTGGCAGAGACCCTTCCCCTCCTCTCCTCTCCTCTCTTTCCCTCCCCTCTTCACAACCCCTCGCCCCACCCCGAACCTCCTACCCACCCAGGCCTTCTCCTCTCCTCATCTTATCTTTGTAAAGGCCCTGCAGGCACCACAGTATATCTTGGAGGTAATATTGTGACTTCAGGGGTGGTTTGACAGATTGACCGCATTCGTCACATTCCCCGGTCGCTTTAATTGCCCTGGCATCTGCTTGGCTTCCTCGTTGTCTCTACTCCCTGACCCCCCCACCCTCTCTCTCCCTCTCTCTCTCCCTCTCTCTCGGGGATCATGCTCCCGGGTCAGATCGCTGGCCTTTAGGGTCGCAGAGTAATCACGGGGCTGGAGATAATACACAGTCCACCCGGGTGTGAAGAGAAAACACTTGCAATGCAATTTGTGTGTGTGTGTGTGTGTGTGTGTGTGTGTGTGTGTGTGTGTGTGTACACACACACACACACACTCGCCTTACTCTCTCTAACACACACATTCTTAAACTAATCGTAGAGTAGCCACCCTCCTTTCTTTCCCTCCCTCTCCTCCTCCTTTCTTCACCTCCAGGCTCCCTCTTTCCTCTGTAATGTAATGGTTTCAGTGGCCTCCTGATTTGCGAGTCTATTCTTGTTTAGCCTCTTTAGTAAAGAAGAAACAAAAAGCCATGCCACTTTTAGCGGGGAGGCAAAAAGTTCACGCAAACTATACAGGAAAGTCTGAAGCAGCGGCGAACCACCGGAACGTGACTCACGTAGTCGCTCGCTTGTTTTATCGACATCACGCTTTTGCAAAAGTCTCAGAGCATGTTAGGCGAGTTGCAAAACAGTGCCTCTGCATGCAAAACAAAAATTAGGAGTTTGAATTTCTTGAGATTGATTTAAAGCGTCAGTCCGCCCAGTGCCTGTTTTGTCTGATGCACCTATTTTAAAAGTAATGTGGTCTAACACAACAATCCAGCAGTAAATCTTCCCTTCATGCAGCTTTGTGTTACTGACAGGTGTTTCTATTATTTTATCCACCCTATTTATATCAATGAGGGAAGGCGAAATAACCTCTAATAATATTTAATCTAATATAATAGCTCCTTGTTAGTTTATTTTTCCTGGTTTTCAGATTCATTCCATTCATTGAAAAGTGCTGACTATTCCACATTAATTAGCATTTTCTCTGGCTGGTTTTCTGGAAATGTGGTTAAAATTTGTGCTAAATGTGGATGGAAACTTGACTGGTAACATCTGGGGATCTAGGATTACTCTTAAGAAAGAAATGTTACTCTTGAATGATTTCATAATTTCATTTTTTAATAATGTGAGCAACACAAATAAAATCCCATTCACCTACAATTTACTGAAGGGGATGCAGATGTGTTAAGAAAAGCTTTGGGGCCGAATGAATCGAAAACTGTCTGCGTGACTCAATACAACAAGAGTTAAGTGAGGAAATGTGTTAATTGGTTGAACTGACCCTTTAAGTTTTGTAAATAATTTGACACCTGAAAACATCTAAAAAGAATCTATCACTATGTTGTAAAGAACAATTAAAATAGTCTTTCCTTCACACTCATTAATACACATCCCCCAACACACACACACACACACACACACACCTGCTTTGCACTGTCATATGATCCACTCTCCAGTCACCTGTAGATGTAATCTGTGAAGAATTGCCTCCTGTCTCCCTATCTGACCTGTCAGGCTGTAGGAAAAAAAGGACTTGCGACACCTGGATTGTGGAGTGGTTTTAACTTTAAACACCCTCTCCTCTTCCTTTCTCTCTCTCTCTCTCTCTCTCTCTCTCTCTCTCTCTCTCGTTCCCTGAGTCCGGTTTTGAAAATGAGGAAACCATCTATATTCTCTGACAGGTTTCTGGTGGGGCACAGCGTTGGTGAGGGGGTTCTTATATTCCCTTCCTTGGCTCGCGTTTTAGGCGATCCCTTGTTACATGAATTGAAATGTGTAAATCTAACCCTTGTCTAGACATTTTCCAGAACTCGCTGTAGTTTGCAAGAAAAGCTGTCTAGCCGGTGATGCTAAACTCAACTCCCCAACCCCCCAAAGCGAATCTACGTATAGCAGCAGATTGTCTTTCAGCGCTGCTGTAAACAGGACCGTCGTATGTGTGGAGTCCCGAGTTTATGACCATGACTCCTGAGAATGCTACATCTTGACCCTGTGTTTGTATGTTTGTCTGGCGTGTGTGTGTGCGTGTGTGTGTGTGTGCGTGTGTGTGTGTGTATGTGTTTTTGTGTCCAGGCTTGGCCTCAGTGGCTGGAATGTGTGAGCCGGAGAGGAGCTGCAGCATCAATGAAGACATCGGCCTCAGTTCTGCTTTCACCATTGCTCATGAGATCGGCCACAAGTGAGTTTTAAGACTTTTAAGATCCTAATATAAAATATAAAATTTGACATTACTGTCTGATGCAAATAGCAGAGGTGGGACGGAGCCAACGGGCTTTGTTCGAGAGCTGCTCATATGAACACATCAGATTTAAGAGGTTTAAGAGATCTTGTCGCATTCACTAATTTTCTCATATTTGACATTTTCTCTAAAGATTTATGAGCCGTCATATGAGCCATGTTCAGATAGTCTGCCTCTCTGCATGGGGGGGAAACACAGTTTGATTTGAAAATTATTATACCTTTCTGCAACAATTAGTTGATTAATCCATTAGTGGATCAACAGAAAATTAAAGGTTCCATATTTTCCTCTTCTTCTGTGTTTTATTTTGAAGTTTTGATCCATAAGAAGATAAATTTGTGGTTTTAAGAACCAAAAACCATCTCAGTGTAGTTTTACATCTCCTCCTCTCTCAGTCTTCTCTCTGGAGCTCTAGTAACAACAGGTTGGTGAGCCAATCAGAAGAGACGAGGCTCTGAGCCTCTCTTCTGATTGGCTGACTGTTTTCTGAGTGATCAAATAAAAATAAAGCAGATTTCAGTTAAAATACTCAGAGAAACTAAATCCTGCAAGGTTTGGATGGTGGGTCCAGGTGGGCGGGGCTTGGTGACTGCTTTGTTGTGACATCACAAAGTTACAGGAAGTCCTGACGGCTGGTTTTAAGGCTCAGTGTCTGAATACAGGCTGTGTGCATTTCTCTGTGGACTGAGGCTTTGATACTTTCACAGTATTAATATAGAAGCTAGACCTGATCTATAATCACACTACACATGGAAATCTCTCTTTATACAATATGGGACCCTTAATTGCAAACAATTCGGATAATTGATTAATTTTTTATGAGGAAAATTTCATAATTCTGTGGTTCCAGCTTTTCAAATGTGAATATTTTCTGAGTCTTTTTAAAAATAATGAACTAAATATGTTTGGGTTTTGGTCTGTTGGTCAAACAAAACAAGACATTTGAAGATGTCACCTCGGGTCATTTCTGACATTCTGACATTATATAGACTCAATAATTGAATTGACTAATTGAGAAAACAGACATAGATTAATCAGTAATGAGTTGCAGCTGTAATTATGTTGCAAAAACCAACTAAAATAAGAGTTAATAATTATAATAAACCTAATGCAAAGTTATTATTCTGTTCACTGGGTTGTCATCATCGTGGCTTTCCAGTTTACTGAGAGGTTTGATGTTTTGTCTTTTCTTCACTTCTCATCCAGATTTTTTTGTTTTCATTGGCAAAGTTTAACGTACCGTATCTTGGCAACACACAGTTGAGCAGCAGCCTCAGGGTTTTTTTTTTTTATATGCTCCGTCCACAGGAACATCTTCTCTTAAGTCTGACAGTTTAACATCACCCTGTGTTTAATATTCACTCATGCTGCTCGTCTTTATTTCTGTCAGAGTGCAGCGCCGCTCAGATGACACATTGTTGGCAGCTTGGCAATATCTTCTAATCGTTTCTCGTCCCTTAATACGACTGAATGACCGACATGTTTTCGTCTGCTGACAGCAGGACTTGAAGCGCTGCGTGTATGTGAGATTTTTTTTGTGAATGAAACCGTCCCACAAACAGGACACAGGACGCCCTTTATGGCAAATTTAGGGGCATTCATTGAGCAAGTGATCAAACCTCACAAAACAGAAAATAGTTAGAGAAATTTAGAAGAAGAATACAAAAACATCCTTTCATGATTGTAGCATGAATCCCTTTTTGAATCATTTGTCTTAAATCTTTTGATGATCTCCTGACTTTTCATTTGTGGGGGTTTTTCTTATTGTTGAATGTCTTGAATCGATGCACACATGCGAGTCCTCCTCAGGATAAAGTGTAATAACTTTGGAGATCCTTTAACTTTTTTATTTTCGTGCCGTCGTCGAGTCAAAATGTCAATTCGTCCAGTATTTTTGTTTATGACCAACTACCTGCAGAACGAGTGATTTTCCCATCATTCTCAGCCGTTTGGTGCTAATTAGTAAACGAAGACGGTAAACATGATGGCTGCTCAAAACACCAGTCACAGAGCTGCTCTCCCTCGCTGTAAACTCACTTTTTACAACATATTTTTAAAATCTTTTTAAAGAGTTGTGAGTCCTCGTCATCAGATTTATCGACTTCTAGCCAATGGGATTCCTTCTTTTGCTTGAGATCGTTGTAAAACCTTTTATTACTTTCACAAGTGCGCCCTCTAATAATTGCTCTTAAACAAATATTACTTACTACTTGGGTTTGCCAGACCTACATGTAGTCCCCCCCCCCCCTCCCTCAGCAGACATCTTGAACTGTATCTCCACATATTTCCTCATGCAAATGTCAGTGTCCACATACCTCTGGCTCTTTCTTCCTGAATATAAAGCAAAATAATGATGATGTATTAGTCTACGTATCCCTCTCTCGAGAGTTCAGCAAGATGGCGATTTCCTTTATTATGTCTCGTGTCTGCTTCTGTTGTGGGGCAGTTGTAAAAATAGTCTCTGCTTCTAGAGGATGTTTAAAAAAAACACACTGCAGCGGGGTTTCAACCGGGGGCTGATTTATTTCCAGAGTAGGGTAAAATGTCATAAACGCCAGCCTTAGAAAAACAGGTTCAGGCTGTGCGATGTGGTCGGGTTTGTTATATACATTAGACCTGATTTGTGCTCCTGGACTGGAAGGAAAAGTAAGCGTTGACATCCTGCTGTAACCTGAGATTTTCTCTCAAATGATATCCAGACAGATAAGGTTTTTTTTTTTTAATGAATTGTTAAAATGATTTATTTTCTTCAGCAGCTTTCATAACAGAACACAAGGTTGCGAGTTGTTTGGATTTTGAGTCTCTCTCTCTTTCTCTCTGGTGTCTGGTGCAGCGATTGATCTAAAGGACCCTCCCCCCACCCCCACCCCAACCACCTCACCCCCCAACCCGTCCTCCCTCTAGTCAGTGGTGACTCCGCCTCCACATCACGGCCTGCTCAGACCTGCAGGCGCTGATTGACAGGCAGGCATCAGAGTGGTGATTAGAACTTTTTCGTTCCTGCCGAGCTCCAGACAGGGTTTGACCCTTGACCCCTCGGGTCTCCTCCACACAGCTGTTTCAGAGCCACAGAGCTTGAACTTTACAGCCAGGGCCACTGAGGGAGACGTCCTCCAGTTCAGCAGCCCGGACTTTCCAGCGTCGCCCCGTCCAAACTGAGCAGTTAACTCGCCAAAGAGAAAGCTCATCATCCCAGCTGCATTAATTTCCAGCTTTTATTTTGTGTGTTTCAGTTTTGGGATGAACCACGATGGGATCGGGAATTCCTGCGGTACCAAAGGCCACGAGACAGCCAAGCTGATGGCCGCTCATATAACAGCCAACACCAACCCTTTCTCCTGGTCCGCCTGCAGCAAAGACTACATCACCAGCTTTCTCGAGTAAGTGGATGATGGTTGTTCCCTGTGGGACTGTCTGAGTGTGTTTGGATTTGCCTGCATATGTGTGTATATATATATGTGTGTGTGTGTGTGTGTGTGTGCNCAACACCAACCCTTTCTCCTGGTCCGCCTGCAGCAAAGACTACATCACCAGCTTTCTCGAGTAAGTGGATGATGGTTGTTCCCTGTGGGACTGTCTGAGTGTGTTTGGATTTGCCTGCATATGTGTGTATATATATATGTGTGTGTGTGTGTGTGTGTGTGCGTGTGTGTGTGTGCAGTACAGAAAAAGGTGCATGCCTGTTTTCCTGCTCGCTCGCAGCCGTCTCGCTTTACAACCCGCTGCCACTGGCTGGCCCTTGTGGTGACCCGCTAGGCTGCCTTGTATGCAAGTCCTTCCCCACTTATTCACATCCATTTCATCACTATGACTCCTGCCAGACCTCCTTGTGGCTGTGTATGATAACTGGGTGCCTTTCACCCTTGCATCCCTGCACCACAAGGCGGGTGATGTTAGAGCTCATGTGGTCCTTTGGTGGTGATGTGTAGGCCAGCTGCTTTCAACCGCTGCTCCACTGTTTTGCGGATAGGTCAAAGGAGACAAAAACTTAGAGCACACAAATAAACAAAAGAGTAACACGGTGACATTTTGGCAGAATGAGTCCTGCCACCATGGCATGATTAAAAAAGAAAAAAACAACACTTAAAAGGCCAGACAAAACCTGTGACGACAGCAGGACCCGATGAACTAAAAGTTGCCACCCTGATCCCAGCACATCGTAGGTGTATTGAGTTGACTTATAAAAGTTAAATTCAACTGTTGAATGTCCAGGAATCTGAACAGCCTGGTCCCAAATTAAATCCCCTCTAGCTCTGACGTGGAGACTGTTTGTTGCTGTAGATGAAGACTGACGTTGCTCCGCACACACACAGCTCAAGAGTGAATTATAAAAAAGTGCATTGTAGTTTTTTTCCTGGGAGGGCTCAGCCACTGTTGGGAAAACAAGCCTCATTGTGTTCATTGTTCCCTCCGATGAGAAACATGTTATTCTTCTTTAACTACCAGAGAATGAGGTCAAGGATTCCTCAGCAACTCTCTGAAATTGCCTGCTCGCAGCGATGGCGGGACGGCTGTAAACTATTGCAAAGAGCCACGTTGACTCTGGTGGACAGACGTTGTGCAACACTCACAGCTCTGAGTGAGTCATGGTGTCATTTAAGGTGCTCTAATCAAATTTCTTTATTAACAATGGATGAAATGATTGTGTATAATGAGAAAGGGGTCACTTATTGTGTCTTTTCGCTAAATGTTTTGGGTTTGTTCTGGTTCAGCCTCACTGCTAACATCTGTGTTGTTTCTACATGCAGCAGACTGCAGCTGTTTTAGGTGGAAAAAGTGCCGATAAACCCGCTGCACACAACTCGCTCAGCAGCAAACAGCTGAAAGACTAAATCACTGTTGTGGAGAACAAAGCAGAGCTAAAATCCAGTCCAGTGAAAAGTGGACTTAGATTCACAAGGTCACCAGAAACACGTCTCCAAATAAATGCTTATGTTGCTACATGTCGCCTGAATAAGTAAATAGACAACTGACTTTTCACTATATTAACTATATCAA